CTCTACGCCAACCGCTTCTCCTCGAAGTCTCTTCGTCCACGACCCCTTCGTAGTGAGTCTGAGGCACCGGCTCGGGTGAGTGCACGTCGTGCGGAAGAGACGAACTGTGTATCTGACTTGAACCAGTGATCGAACCGTCGCTGGAGACACCGGGCTGAAAGGACGAAGGCTGCCCGAGACGGAGCGTGAGATCGATCCCTGCTGGTCCATGTTCGCTGCTCGATACGGGCTGGGCAGATGCACACCAGCCAATTGCCGCAACGAGTAGGAAAGCTGCGCCTGTGATCCTCATAGTGAGTCTCGCTTTGTGAGCGACCACTCATCTCACCGAACCGCCATCGCAGGGCTATTTATACCTTTGGCGGTCAGCTTCGGTCGGTTGTAAAGTGGCGTCACCTCTGGTCGTCTCGCAATTCCAGCTTCAAACCACTATGAGCTTGATTCATCGGTGGGCCACACCCACGCCCGTCTTCCCAAGACATGAAATCCGCTTCTCGTTCCTGGAAGCGGTAGCTCCACATCGAGTCGATGTGGGAACGCATGCTATGACGAAAAAAGGTGGCGTCCGGCTCAAATCGCTGCCGAAAGCTGCAAGAGCGCTCACGACCTTCGATGCAGCTTGTGCGAAACACCATCTTCGAATTTGCAGCCGACTACCTGATATTGCTCTGATCGGCTTCGGCAATGGGCCTCTCTCGATTTGCTTATCGATGTCGTTACATGCACGAAGTCTACACAGTCAGGAAAAAGGAGAGGAAAAACTGCGTTTATATGCACCTGAGCCCCAGTGGCAAGCCTAGTGGGCGATCCGGCGAAGGAGCTCTTCGTCACGCTGCAACAGCCCGATGTCGTCTTCGACCATTGCTCGCAGGTAGCTCGTCGCAAGCACGTTCGCACGACCAGCAGCAACTCTCTTCGCGAGCTTGCGCCAATTTACAAATCGCCTGGTCAGCAACTCCATCTCGGATTTGCTGAACGACCTCCCTCGATCCTGCTTGAGCAGAAGACTGTAGAGGTGCAAAATGAGAAAGGATCAGCTTCAGCTTCTTCCCCTCACGGACCACGAGTGGTCGCTTACGTTTTGGCTCGCACAAGGCTCTCAATACGACGTTGGAGCAGTCGAGCGTCTTGGGCCTGGAATCTTCCGTCCCGAATCACCGAGGGCATGGGCGCGTTGAGGTGATAGCGAGCGTAATGCTCCCAGAGGACACGTGCCCTTTCCTGAGGACCTACCGCGTTCCCTGGATCGATCGTTCGCAATCGAGGCACGTACGGGTCGAAGCGACCCGAGGGAGCACCACGAACGTCCTGGACGGCGGCTCTGACAGAGCCTTCGGCGGGAACAAACCCGGGATTGTTTGGCAGTTGTCCATCCCGCAGAGCTCCTACCGGGTGTTCGGCCTCGTATTCACCCGACGAGGACGAGCTTTCACTTGCATCGGGAGAATGAAGAGTATGAGCCGGACCCAATCGCAGCGTCAGATCCGTCGGAGTCGAGCCATCGCTTGCAGCGTGAGAGCGAGGAGTCGAAGGCGGTCCCAGCCGCAGCGTCAGATCGAGGTTGCCTCCAGTAGGAGCAGAAGCACACAGCGAAATTGCAAGCAAACACGAGAGCACTGCAAGACGCATTGTGAGAAGCTCTTGCGGCTCAGACTCCGAACGATGCCTTTTTCTCCGAGGTATTTATGCAGATGAGTATGTGAGCTCAACTTCTTCAGGCTGAGGACAGCCTGCGGACCGTCCGTCAGTTCGCCTCATTCCATCCAAATGAGGGAACTTCAATCGCATTCCGGTCCACTGCAACGTCCGATTGAACGAGAAATCAGGGGCAAAGCCAAGACTGAGGCTGATGTACGCCCTGAATCATCCTTCATCAAGGCTACCGGTAGTATCATATGATACCGTACACCGAAAGCAGGTGGCGCACAGTCCGTGCGCATAGCATCGCATCTTCACGTTTCTTTTCAGTACACTTCCGGACGAACTCACACTTTTGTTGCAACATCGCTCAATTTGGGCATTGCCGTAGCATCAAACACGCAGGGCTTGCTTTGCAGCTGTGTTTCGTGGCTGTACTCTATCCGACCGTCGAGTTCTGGCTGAAGAGCGGCACATAGCCATCTCATTTCGGACTGTTTTCGGCATTGACCAGAACCAACGCATGAAGACGCAACGCAGAGCCTGAGAGGGTTGCATTTCTCGACCGGAAGCAGGCAGTCATTGAATGGCGGCTCGAAGAGCCCCCTCGATGCGCCTCATGCGAGACAAGTCACCCTCGGCATTCATCTGAATGCCGTACGTCGATGCGATGCTCGCTCCATCGGGGGAAAGGCGATTTACCAGTTTGGACCAGTTGCGGAATCGCACTTTTGGCGCAATAGGATGCTCAGTCTTGTACAGCGCCCTGTACTTTTTCACAAACTCCCTTCAACAGTGCCAGAATGGCGGTGTCAGCGATGAAGTGATGAGCGGTCAACAGAGGACGATTACTCACCTCTTCGCGCGGCTGAGGAGGGCGATCCGATTTTGGAAGTTGATTGCATGCTGCGGATGAATCCGACCATCGGCGACGAAAGGAGGTACGGGCTGGTTGAGATACTCGTTAACGTACCTTTTCCAGCTCATTGGAGCGAATCGGAACTCCATGGGGCGGAGAGCGTCCTCTGTGGCAACAGCAGGCCTGCTCGAACTCGCCTCGCTCCGTGCCGCGCCTTGCTGAACTTGACCAAGCATTCGAGATTCGTACGAAGAGGCCGGCGCGGGAATGTGTCCCAGCTGCGTCAGCTCGTGTTGCGTGAGACCTCCACGGAAACGTAGAGTGCCTGGTGCTACACTTGCAGGACTGCCAACCAGGGCAGCATCTTGAGGCTCTGAGCTTCGTCCGGGTCCGAGTCGAAGCGATAGATCTGACCCGTCTGACTCGGTCTCCGAGTCGCTTGCGCAGAGAGCAGGAGGGAGCAGCGGAAGCAGAGCCGCTGCCAGCAGAGCTGCAAGCGAACTGATCCGCATTGTGCTTTAAATGTGTCGATGTCTCATCGCAAAGTACGACCTCCCGCTGCCGAGGCTTTATACCTTTGACGTTCAGAGCAGACCAACCCTGCAGTACATAGGCTGCGCCCTAGAGAGTACCGCCACCAAGTCTCGTCTTCTTCATCGTGGGTGGTGGTGCCACTCTCACGCATGCCTCATTTCAAGTAGATTGCATAAGACACGATACCCACCACAGAGACGCAAAGCGAGGTTGAGTATGCACTCTGCCTCCCCACTGTATTTCAGGAAGAACGCACTCGGTCAGCCTTTCTTTGCCCCTAAACCTCGATCGAGATTACGAACATCGCCCACAATCATCTGCGACGGTCGATGACCAAGAAGTCAAGCTTGGAATTCAGCATGACCATATGCTCAAAAGGACTTGGCGACGCTATCACGTAGCATGCTGTGTGAAAATGAACCAAGGCGAAGCCGTCGAGATGCCGGCTGCATATCAACGCAATTAACGTGGAGGAGAAACGTCCGGGAGGAAAGTCGCTACGTCGTGCAGGGCTAGCTCTACACGGGTAAGCAGCGATCCCTCCTCGCGAAGCCAGTCTGCCAGCTGACGACGGTTCACGTACCCGTTCGACAGCGCCTTGTCCTTCCATGGCAAGAATGGCGTCGCGAGGGTGTGGCGCTGCTCGGTCGTCAGCGCGGACCGCGTCAGCTTGTTGCTGAGAACCCATCTGGGTGACATCAAAAGGTGTCAGAAAATTGTCAGCAGCTACAACCAATGCAAGTCCAGCGGAGCCGACACTTCACTGACCTCTTCAGGTAGTCGAGCTGATCCAGACGCTGATGAAAGGCATCTAGGTGCTGGGCGAGCTCGTCGCGGCTCGATCTCCAGATGTCCTCAGGGCCAAGCTGCTTCCTGAATGCTGCCGAGCTCAAGTAGGAGTCCCACCAAGCAGCAAGTTGGTTGCCTCTGCTTTCCGTGCTTCCGGACACGTTAGGTACAGGAGCAGCTCGAGTGCCCAGTACCGCGATAGCGAGCAAGAGCGCGGTGAGAGATACGACGGAGAGAGGCTTCATCTTCGAGTGCAGCAGAGCCAAATGTGCTTCTTTGCTTGGAGCATCTCTCTCATCCTGGTAGAGTAAAGGCTCCTTAAATAGACAAGTTGCAGTCCGCAAACTTCGCACACGAGTAAGCACATATCAGTATCTTCGGAAGCGCCGCAGCTCCCAGGCTGCCTTGTTACAGTTTCGGAATCGAGCAGACGCACAAAGACAGCCAATAGGAAGATGGCCCACCAGGACGTCCCGTAACTGCGCCTTGAGATCGCAAGCGCCTCGTAAAGGCGAGACAATTGCCGAGCGGTTCATCGCCTCAAGGGCAGCTGTTTCGATATGAGGCTCGGCTCGGAGCGATTCCCCACTTTGACATCCAGACTCTCAAGTCTCGCTAACAAGTCGGCGGCTTCGAGAAGCCATCGAGGACCGGAAACGTGCGGCCGCGGTTCCACAAAGCGGTGACAGGAATGGTCCCGCTCGCCCACTGGGATGATCCCGCTCGCCCACAGTGACAGCCCCGCTCGCCCACAGTGACAGTCCCGCTCCCCCGTGGTGATGTGCACGCGCTCGCTCTTCAGCCCACCATGAGCTGCAGGATTGACGGAACGGGGTCAAGGTGGGCGCCCCACATAGTGCTGCATGATGCCGCCTGGCTTTCGCCCACCCGCTCAGGAACACACCTGCGCTCTTTGCACGCTGCTCATGCACTAGGATTACCGAGATGCATGGCAAGCGCTGCGGTGCACGTTCATCTCAGCTTCATTCTTCTTGCTCTTTTCGCATTTATCCGCTGCTTTCGCTGCCCCAATAATGTTGAGAAAACCGATATGATCATAGCGTGGTCGAAAGTTCCAGCGTGTAACGTGTTGTGTTTCGCAGTCTGCGCACATGCAGTACCATAGCATCAAGGATGGTATTCGTCAAAGCCGCGTATGCCCGCGTATGCTTTCACTTGTTGACAGGGGTGAGAAGTTCAGACCAGACCGGGACTACAGCCTGATACAGAGGCCGGAACAATACTTGCGTGATACACACAGGCCATATCGTATCGACATTCAGACAGTAACCTGTACCTAAAGCGAAACCGCAGTACTACGATAACACTACAGTGCCCATAAGAATTGTGCACTCCGAACCGTGCGAGTCGCCACGCGGTCGATAATATCTTCGACCTCGTTCACAAGCATCTTCTCGGCGTCGATGAGGGATGTGTACTCCTCCAGGTTCTCCATCACCTTCTCGAGATCTTCGTGTTCCCACGGGTGGAAAGGTTGGGTCAAGCGCTGTGCTTCTCCGGGGTACAAGAATCCACTGAAGTCATGCAGCACTCGACTTGTTTGTTCCACAGTTCAAAGTCCAACACACCTCGATGCCGATGTTAGTACTTTGACGGTACAAGGAATCTCAAGCATGGTCCGACTTACTTCCTGATTGCATCGAGTGCCTGCACTCGCTTTATGTACAGCCTGATTCTGCCTCTGGTGAGAGGTGTTTCAAAGATCGTGTAGCCCGGGAATCTGTCCACCTTCATCTTTGTCCATACGGGGCGAAAGGGAAACGGTGCGTATTTGGCACGATAAGGAACCCACAACTCTGGGAATGATGGGCTCTGTTCGGGCGTAGGGCGAAACGTGATGGATGTCCGTTGAGGATGCTGCGTTGCGCTGACGATCTGCTTTCCTTTGTCTCCAGGATCCAGTGCATTCCCATCGTTGAGGCTTGCTTCTCCTACACTCCGGAACCCATTAGCATGGGCGTCCAGGGGCGAAGATTCGTGTCTTTCGGCATTGGTCAAGGCTCGCGGTGACGTAGCTCTGCAAGGAGAGACCGTCGTTAACGTAACGAGTACGAAAAACCGACCGAAGTGCATCGTAAGGGATTGCGTTGGCTTTCGGAGAGTGCAAGTTCGACCGCTCAGCCTCGATAATCCACGCCATTTATGGTATCACGGCGCTCGCTAAGGATCTCCTGAGCCGGTGCGCCTCCTCAACCGCTCATCTGTCATCTTATGGAAGAATATCGACTTTCGCCTTCGTATCTTCGGCGTCGGAACTCTTACCGCAAAGATGATCACGAGGACGACTTCGGGTATTCACGCTGGAAGCGATGGTCCGCACAGACAACCACATCCCAGAGACAATCAACCTGTCCTTCATTTTATCTGTATCCGGCGAGCGTCGCATCACGCATCGTGCGAACGAACAGTGGATCAATGAAGCTCGATTTTCTTCCCACGCCTTCAAATCAAATCATATGAGCCTCATTTGCATCACCTGCAGTTCCACCATGCAAGGTCGGTGGACTCTCGATGCAAGATCGTGGGCTACTGTATCATATCAGCGGCCGATGCTCGAATCATTCGAAATTCGAGGGAGCCTGGCATTCCATCCGGATGCTCCGTGCGGCAACTGCGGTATGGGAGGTGCGCAGAACCACCTGCGCCTGCGTCACTCGGGGAAAGACTGACGTGTGCTGACCGCATCATCGGACACGGTTGGAGTGCTTCAGTGCACAGCTTACGCCAAATCACTCGTTCTAGTCATGTCCCGCTCGTGATCCCCTGGGGCCTCGGATGTGGTTGTCGCTGAGACGGCTTGTGGTAGCCACCGCGAGAGCCCTCTATGACCAACAAGTATGGTATCAGAGTAAGAGAGACAAGGTATCATGACACCGTGGGTCGGGCGTCAGTATGATGCGTGTCCGCGCCTACACCAATGCGACGAACCCACCAATGGAGCATTGCTTCTGTTTACCGTCAAAAATGTCATTTCGTATCCATACTGAAGCTCAAATGAGATGCATGGTTTCCACCCACAACGTGATTGTCTTGTCCATCGAGACACACCTGATACATGCGCCACGCGCCTTCACGCAACTGTAACCCACTTGTGGGCGATGGATGAGTGTTCCAAGTGTTACTGATGGAGCATGCCTTCAATTGGCATTTATAGGGACTATCGGATGGAAGTTGTGACCTTCATCCGTCATCCGCGAAAACATCCTCGAGTCCGCCGGAGCTCTGACGAGCGCTTCAGCGTCACGGTAATGATCCCCTTTCGCGCCTTGTTGGGCATCCTCGTGCTCAGTGCTTTCGTGGCCGCGCAGCCTATCCGCCGCAGTGATGGCATTCCCACAGCCGAGCCTGAGCTGCTCTCCAACTCGCTCAATTCTCGCATTTTCCTTTCGAAGCGCGCTAACGATGCCGAGGTGCCGGATATTGCTGGAGGAGCTGGTCACGAATACGGGGTCTGGTCGCAAGGCGACACACTGCGTATCGCCACGTTCCTGGCAGGCGATCACAACATCTTTCCGCGCAACTCGCTCGCAACTCCCGCGGTGCAGCAGCTCGCGGCTGTCTACAGGCCGTACCAGCGAAACTTTCCTGCCCGTGGACTCCCCCGGGACGGCATGAGTGCCGATGCAATCGTCACGAACCTGTTCGAGGTCAGTGGCCGTGACCGGCTTCGACAGATGCAGGCCGTGCTAGGAACTGTGATCGACAATGCACTGGCATTCCGGCTGGATCGAACCCGGATCCAATACCTCGAGGCTTTGCGTCGTCGGTTCCACGTCTCCGAGCAAATCTTGACGCCGACGGCGACAGAGATCGGGGATTTGGCATTGACTAGGGTTCCAGCTCCTCCAGTGGAGTACGATTCGGCGTACTTCAACAGGATGGCCGAACACATAGAATGGGTGGCTCGTCGCATGAACACTCGCCAGATGATCGTGACGAGGACCACGCCTCCGTTGGCGATCAACTTTGCCCTTCTCGGACACCTCGAGGATGAGCTCGACAGGGTCATCTCGACCCCTTCCGTCCCTTCGCGCCAGCTCAACACTTTGCTGCGACTTCATCCGCGCGATGTTGCCGGAGATGAGGCTGCGCATCAAGGGGGTCCGACGCGCCAGCGCAGAGATGCCTGGACCTCGTTCGACGACGAAATTGCAGAGGAAGAAGCACTCGGCTCGAATTTGAGCACGCCTCGCCGCAAGATGTTGATCAAGCGCCAGGCCGATGTGCGAGAGCATCTTGGTGGCCAGCCGTGGCCGATGCGAGAGATGTCCGTCGAGGAAGCGCTTGGTCGCAACGCTCTGGAACCGACGGATCCGGGCGCCATTCCTATTGCCGAGTTCTGGCGTAGGAACATCGACCTGCTGGCTCCCATGCGTGGCAACGAACGACGCCGACAGCAACTCGCCGGCATGTACGAGCAGTACCAGCAAGTTGTTCCGATCACCGGGCGCGCCCTGAACTTCCATGATGCCAATGCCATCGTTGAGCAGACGTACATGTCCGAGGGTCGCAATAGGTTCCGGCACATGACGCCCATTCTCAGGTATCTGGTGGAGCATCGCAGCCAGTTGCGCCTCGACCCGGTGCGCGTGGCGTATCTCGAGGCGTTGTTGGGCCGTTTCCGAGAGACCGAGCGGCTCTTGACGCCCAGCGCGGAAGAACACGCCAACGAGATGCTCCGCCACGCTCGAATCGGAGAAGAAGACTTCCGTGATGTACAAGTGGTTCGGAATACCCTCCATGCAGTCAGTGATGGCTCGGAGCGCATTTTGAACCGACTCGGCTCGGCGAGGGAAAACCTTTGGCGAATTCTGCAGGACCTGCGCTTTGTCAACCATCTCGAGAAGGAGATCGAGGAGATTGTGGACAATCCCGTTTCCCCTGCCGCACGCGGAGTCCGACGGTTAGTGCCGCGTGATGGCATCCAGGATCAAGGAGCAGACGCCAGCATTAACAAGGCCAATACGATCGAGGAGCGTGCCGTCAAGGAGCACCCGCACACAGACGAGGAGATGCGATTCGCCCTCAGCGGCATCGGCATGCACCTGCAGGACCAAGCCGCACGACCGATCGCATCTTGGCGCCTTTCCGACGCGATGCTTCTGCTGCACGATCGAGTTCCGCACGACCTCAAGGCGGTCCTCCGCGGTGGGTGGGTAGCCTACCGAGCCAACCATCCTCGCATTCCTTTCGATCACGCTTTTCTCTCGGACCAGGTTCGTCTAGCGCCCTACTTTAACACCGACAGGGGCGCGCGATTCGGAAGCGCCATCCGCGTCATCGACTCGTTGCTCAGCAGGCGAGGACGACTTCAGCTGACCGACACGGCTGTCGAGTACCTGGAAGCGCTCAAGGCTCGCTTTCAGCGGACTGCCGAGTTGATGTTGCCTTTGCCGAGTGCGGTGCGAGCCGAGATTCGGAACGAGTACAGCCAAGGTACGCCGCAGGAACACGAGCAGATGCTGCGCAACCTGCTGTTCGATCGCAACCTCCGCATCAGGCGAAACGCGCGCGAGGTCAATATCGACGAGTCGCTTCTGATGAGCTTCGAAAGCGAGATGGACATTTTCCATCGCTTGCCGGTGGTGTAGTCCTCACCCAAAAGCCATACATGCGAGGGGTGGCTCCACACAAAGCGACGATGATATCGTAGCAGTAGAGATGGTCCTCTGTATGTAGAAGCATCCGATTCCAAAAATTGCCGCTGTCTCCACCAAAGCATGCTAGACCGTTCGAATGTACGTTTGATATGTTGTCATTTGAGCGTGGGTATATAGGATCGAGATGGCGCCGGCGCTCTTGATCAGGACGAATGCGGCTCATTCTTGCACCTCTTTCCTCCCCTTCTTCTCCTTCTTTTCCTTCTTCTCCGGCTTAGCCTCTCCGTCCTTCTCCGACTTTTCCTTCTTGACCTTCTTGAGCTTCTTTTCCTTGTTTTCCTTCTTTTCCTTCTTTTCCTTCTTTTCCTTCTCGTCCTTCTTTTCCTCCTTCACCTCGGTCTGCTCCCCTTTGAGCTTATTTGTCTTGGCTTTCTTGTCGCTAATAGCTTCTGCCTCGCCATCTCGCTTACGCTTCTTCGATGAACTCAGATCCTTGTGGTCGGCATCATCGTGTGTCTCCGGATCTTTGATCGCCGATGACTTGGTCTTTGTCTTCTTTTGCTTCTTCCCTTCTTGATCGCTTGGCTTCTTCTGGGCATCCTTGCTCTTCTTCCTCTTCTTATCTTTGGAGGTCACGACGGGATCTGCCGAGGATTCGGACGCCGGTGTAGGGGACGATGCCGAACCTTCCGACTCCTTGAGTTTCTTTCGCAGAGCCTTCTTGGCGAGCTTCTTCTGCAGAGCCTCGTCGTCTTTCTTCTGTCGCTTCTTCATCGGCTTTTCTTCCTTGCTCGATGACGCAGGTAGATCAGGGGAAGAAGTAGATGAGGAGGAGACCACGTTGAGAGCCGCATCGACCTCGACATCGGAAGCAGCGGGAGTGTCGTCTGCTTTCAAAGTTGGTGGGGATGAAGGAGCGACCTTGAGCGGCGGGCTCTCTTCAACAGCAGGAACGATGGGTTTGCCACGAACAAAGTTGCTCATGAGTGTTTTTCGGGCGTGTTCGCGCTTGGCGAGGGAGGAGAGCGACATGGACGCAGATGCAGCCGAGCGCGCGCCCATGTTCCAGGAGCTGGCGGATTTCTGGCCGTCTGAAGCAGATGCAGGTGTAGATGCGCCTGATGAGGCGGGTGACGGGCCGATGGACAGACTCTTTGCACCTGCAGTGAAGATGCTGTTCCACCAGTCGTCGGCGCGATCGCGGTCCTTGCCGATACCAGAGAGGGTCTTCTTCTGGGTGATGGCGAGCGGCTTCTTGAGGCCGCGACCGGCCTTGCCATCAAGTGGCACGCCGACGCCCTCCCAGCCCTGCGACACCAGGAATGTGGTGGTGTTGAGCGGCATGTCGTTGTCGAGTACGATATCGGATAAGGTGGTGGGTGGCACAGAAGAAACCAGCTGAACGACAACTTCCAATCTCAGGCACAGCTCGAGGCTGGCTGTCCGTGGCCGTTCCGCAAAAAATTCAGAAAGCAAAAATGTGCGGGCCAGGGTCCTGCCGCTCCACAGGCCGAGTTCCGAGATTTGGACATCGGCGCGTGGCTGCTGAGGTGGAGAAAGCACGGTCGATTCGGAAGACCAACACCGAGCTTGCTGAGAGCTATCCTTCACCCCGAGACCATCTCTTCCTTGGGCTTGCAGACGTGCAAGCACCCGCCACTCGTCATTTTCGATCTCTGAAACGGCGCGCGAGGGTGTGTCAGTGCGCGAGTCACGTGGCAGCTGGTATAATCAGTAACGATCGGATGCACTCGTTCGGTTCGCAGCACATGTCGTCGGAAGAGCCGATAGAGGGCATTCGTCTCTGATCACACCGACCAGCAGGAGCAGCACGAAGGCATCGCCACGTCGCTTTGCGTCGCAGACAAATACAACAATGGCGACGGTCTCGGCGGCGGACCGCTCCTTGTCGCGGCCTTCGCGTCGGCTCTGGCTGCCCTGGCTACTGCTGGCGATCTCGTTGATACTGGTCACCTACTCGGTCGACTCCTTCCTCCGCCTACCGCAGCAGCTTGCTATCTCTCAGCAATGTCGCATGTCACGCATGCGTCCGGCCTACATCGACCATACAGCCGACCTCGAGACCTTCTCGCCTTCGGGCTTGTGGCGCAAGTATCGTCTCTACCTCTATCGCGAGCGCGACTTCGACCCCATGGATCTGCCGTCCGGTAGTCCCGCCCTCTTCGTGCCCGGCAACGCTGGCTCGTATGGTCAGGTCCGCAGTGTCTCCTCCAGCGCGGCGAGGCAGTTCTACAAGCAGAACAGCGGTGGTCAGCTCCGAGACGAGTGGAAGGATGCGCCCGCCGGCGTGGCTCACACCGACTGGTACACGCTCGATTTCAACGAGGACTTTTCAGCCTTCAGCGGATCCACCTTGATAGAGCAGGCAACGTTCATCAACGAGGTCATCGCCTACCTCTCCAACCGATACGCATCACCGGCCACCCGCAACTTTGCCGCAGGCGAACGCAATACCACCGTCCCCATCCTGGCACATAGCATGGGAGGAATCGCTGCTCGCCTCGCTGCCCACATGCCAAACTATCCACAGGGTAGCATCGACACCATCGTGACTCTCAGCACGCCTCACGCCTACCCACCAGTCCCCTTTGACAGGAGCACCGAATACGTCTACTCGCTCATCAACCGACCAACGCCTGCAGCACCATCTGGCTCGCCAGCCTCAGTACCACCCCTGCTCGTCTCGGTGGCAGGCGGCATTCTGGATACACAGCTCCCTTCGGACCCGTCTTCGCTTGCACTGGCGCGTATTGGCGAGGATGTGGCTCCTTCGCGCATCTCGACCTTCACCACCTCGCTGCCTTCCCTCTGGTCCTCCGTCGACCATCTCGCAGTCATGTGGTGCGATCAGCTCCGCGAAAAGATCGCCCGAGGATTCCTCCTCGACATGATGGCTTTCGGTCGCATCGCCCAGGATCGCTCGGCAGGGGGCATCACTGGCAGAACAAGCTTCCTGCGCAGAAGGCGTGAGCTTTGGAGGCGAGCACTCAGCCTCTTCGACTCCTCGGATGCCGGTAACGGCGACATCGGACCTCTGGAGCTCGTACCGTCAAAAGATTCGATCTACGACGAAGAGCTCGAGTCTTTCGTCGTCGAGGGAGAGACGCCCACATTCAACAGGCCCGCGTCTGGCGTTGACTCTCCACTGCTGATCGGCGAAGACAGCTTTGTCTACCGCGTACCCGCCAGACTGGGCGAGGACGACACCGACGTACATGCCTTTGAGCTCATCACCAATCTGTGCGTGGGCTGGAACCCTTCCTCGGGTTTGGGCGCTCCTGTCCCGCAGCCCGTCGAGATTGTCGTGCAGACATGCACGAGCGATCCGGACTCGTCTGATCCCATCGCTGGAAGGAAGATCTCGTGCCAGCTCGTCATGCCGTGGCAGTGGGAGCTCGTGCCGCCCAGCCTTCTCCCTCGTACCGACATTCTGAGTCAGGGTCCTGATGCTCCGGCAGCCGCCAATGCTGCTGAGAGCAAGCCATTCCCAGATGCTGAAGAGCCGTACCACGTGCCTGGCCTGGCGTTCCAGCGTCTCCGACTCGATGCTGTCGTGCTCAAGAGGCGCCGAGTCGACTTTATCCGCGTCGAACGAAAGGCGGTCTCGGGCTCTTTCGTACACGCGCGTGGCCTGAAGAGCTTTATCCGTGCAGGCTGGATGCGTCAAGACAGCGGCCGAGTCGAAAAGCATGGCTCTGCCCATGTCCTGACCCCGGCGCAGAACACCGCTACGCAACAGCATCATCAGGATTACGGATTGGCCACCGTTGGTGCAACCCCAATTGCAACCGAATGGAGCCTCAAAGGCGTCGGCTCTTCTCTGCTCGCCAGACGTATCGAGGTGGTGCTCAGCCAGTGCCTCGTCGAGAACCTCGCGCGCTACACGCTCGTCACGAACGACGAGGTACAGTACTCGACCGATCCGTCCTTCTCGCCCTTTTTGCACGTCTCGAATCGAGCCACGGGTGATTCGCGCTGGTACCCACAGCTCGCCTCGCCTCAGCTCGTCCGGTCGATCCGCAACAGGACGTACAAGGGCGAGGCCATCACGTTCCCTCTGTCGCTCCATGGCAATGCGCCCTTCATGCCTCCGGCGAGACAGAGCGTCGATGAGGTCAAGGTGCAGCTGTGGTCGGACTCGGCCACACTTCTGCCCGTGCACGGCAAGCAGCTCAGCTGTCAGTCGCCCATCGAGTCGATCCGCATCTCGATCGACTGGAAGGCGTCCGCGGGCCTCGTCCTTTTGCGCTACCGCTTCTTCTTGGCGGCCTGGCCACTCGGACTCTTGGTGGTTTGTGTGGGGCTCTCATGGCTCGCGTGGGCTGCCAAGTCGGACAAGGACGTTTTCCCAAGCCCTCTGCATTCCATCATGCAGCCGGCGTTCCGAACGCCCTTGCTGGGACACCGAATCGACCCGCTGCTGGGCCTGTTGGCATGTCTGACTGCCGGTCTGCTGTTGGTCGACAGCATCCGCCTCGCGCTGTACAGGGCGCTGCCTGACGCTCAATCTCACGGGCCTTCGTCGTCGCTTCTCGGCATCGTTCTAGGTCTGAGCGAGCACTCTTCCTCGGCGGGACTCGTGCCGTGCTTCATGGCTGTCTCGTACGCGGCACTGCTCGCCATTGTAGCTGTCGTCCAACTCGGATTTCGCTTCACAGCAGCGGTCATGCGCAGGTGCGGTCTCGGCGGCGAACTCGACTGGGTCGGTTCGACTGCTTCATCGTCAGACCCGCTGCGCTGGAATCCCCGCTCCATCGCAGGGCTTGCACTGCTGTTGCTCTCGGTCGTCCTCTTTGTGCCGCATCAATTCGTCTTCCTGTGCATCTTCCTGCTGCAGATGCTCAACACGCTTCGTGCCCAGCTCGAGCTGCAAAGTTCCCCGAAAGCAGCACCGGCAACTGTGACTTCGCCAAGAGCACGGGAGACACGCCTGCACCAGCATCTGACCATCTTTTTGGTCCTCTTACTGCTGCTTCCTCAAAAGGCGAGCTTCCTTGTGACCTGGGTCCGCAACCTGGCTTCGGTCGGAATTACCACACCCAAGACCACGGCAGCATGGATGGACCACAACGTGCTCGACGTTGCGCCAGTTGTCGTGCTGGTATGGCTCATGGCCGGAGGACGGAGGCTTGAGCCGCCGCGGAGCGGGCTCGAAGCAAAAGCGGTGGCTGCGGGCTTTGGTGTCGTTGGCTGGTATGCGCTGGTGTGGGGCATCAGGTACACCTACCGGACGTACGATGCGTTCAATGTGCTGTGTGCGCTGCTCGCCATTTGCCAGTGGAGGTCCAGGCGTGGGGGCAGCTTGCGCAGTCATGACCGCTCGTCGCGCGCAGGAGGCAAGGATTCTGACGAGACGCTCGGCATGCTCCACAACCAAGACGGCGCCGAGGTCAGCTCGACTTCCAAACTCGGCAACGGACGACAAGGCGAAGCGTACGAGCTGGCAGCTCGCTCAGATTCAGAACGCCTGCCCATCCACCATCTTGCTATTCCCGCCTCGCTGGCTTCTTCCCAACAAGATGCAGCGGCAGAGACCCCGGTCGAGAGGGAACCTGACTCTCAAAGCGATGCGGCGCAGCCGAGCACCAGCACGTCGGGAGACAGGCTGGACACGCTCATCGGCCAATACCTCGACGTGCTTGATCGATATCAGCAATTGCGCAACGCCAGCTGCGAATCCTTCAGTCGCGGCTACCTCAAGTTGAGCCGGGCCAAGATGGAATACGGTGCGTCTCGTTTGAGCAGCAACTCGTATGACTCGCGGCTGCTCGGCGAGATCCGTGCCAAGGTGGATGCCAGCTCGTCCAAATTGACCGGTGCCGCTGCAACAAGCGCGGAAGCAGGACCGAAGCGGATCTTGGCAGAAAGATTTGTGCCTGACTACTCGCATCTCACCGAGGGACAAGGCGAAGCAGAAAGTGTCCTTGTGGGGCTTACGGACGAGAAGGAGTGTAGTGTTACGGCGACGAGACAGGAAAACACGGCATCGGTATTGCGCAGAAGGGCCGGACCGGTGTCGCCGGCTGGGCAAGATGCGGCGAATCGCGAAGAGGGACGCGCGAGCTTGCCGAGCACCTCGCTTGGCACCCGGTCGGCCAATTCCACGGCGCGAAAGATCGGCCAGGACGACGAGAGCAAGGCGGGCAAAGATCACCAAAAGAGGTTGCCGGATGCGCTCTTGCAGTTCGGTGGCCTGCCAACGCCATCGTTGCGAGGAGCGCAGGTTGACCTGAAGCGCTCTCTCGACCAAATACTGGGCGTTGGTGTGGAGCATGCACCGGCTGGCGAGGGACTTGTGCAGCTCGTGTCCCAGCTGGACTACCTGGCAAACGAGATCGCAGAGTTGCGACGTAGCGATGACAACTAGACATCGAGTATGACATTTCGTAAATCTCGCTGCATTCGGAAAGCACCGACCATCTTTGATGGCGCCTCGCCCGTCACTGGGAGCATGATCAACGTGGGCGCCGTGTGGCCGATTCGCGAGTATTTGTTGGCTTGCAGCGCGCAGTGTGTGGGGTGCAGCGGATCTCGTGTGGGGGCATGGAGAAGGACGCAAGGGGGTTGCGCAAGAAAGATGGTCCGGTGCAAGAGGGTTGAGCCGTGTGCTTGGCTCGCTTAGGTGCACCAAAGGTTTGACCGCGCGGTCGAGCGATGGAGGAATTGGCCGGTGGCGGCCGATTGGATGGAATTCCGCATCGGCATGTAGGAGCATTTGGCGGAGTTGGACGACGTCACGTCGCAAATCGCAGGTTGGAACCGTCGGGGCAAAGCGGTTGCGAAGGGTTCAACTCTGCACTTCGCTTCTCAGAAGCTGCTCGGCCTTCCTCTTTCACCCTAAGCGAGCGTGGGGGCAAACTTGGGCATCTGAAGCGAACAACACGATTTGACCGAGCACCGAATGAGACGCAGCGGAAATGACCGACGGTCCCCACACGGCTGTTGAAGCGCCCCACCCCCACTCCCGCATGCCCCGCAGAGCCCCGCATTGAGAAGCACGATACTACCGGCGACCCTCGCTTCGCCCCCTTCGCCTCTTTGTCAGCACACAATGCCGAAGTGAGACTTGGGGCGGGTATAAAGACAGCCCTGCCCACAAAGCTGTCCTACCCTTGCTACATCAACGCCCTTTTCTCACGACCCTATCGCTGTGATGATTGGAATCAAGCCGGTTGTAGTGGCTGCCGCCCTCGCGCTTGGAGCCGTGGGCGGCTCTGCTGCCCCATCGAACTTGGACTACACTCGCGATGTGTTTGCGCGCGACAACGGCGCGCACTCGTACACTGGGCCGTACGCCGACGGTGGCGTGTGGTCCAACGGATTCGCCAAGGCCAAGTCGCTGCTCGACCAGATGACCGTCGAGGAGAAGGTCAACATCACCACCGGCTACACGGGCAAGTGCGTCGGCTTCACTGGTACCGCTCCGCGTGTCGGACTCGAGGCTCTCTGTCTGCAGGACGGTCCCGCCGGTGTGCGTCCTGCGCGTCGTGTCTCGCAGTTCCCCGCTGGCGTCACCACCGCTGCGACATGGGACCGAGATCTGATGGCACAGCGTGCCGAGGCGCTTGCTGAAGAGTTCCGCGACAAGGGCGTCAACATCTGGCTCGGACCCGTGACTGGCGGTCCGCTGGGACGTGCTCCGCGCGGCGGAAGGAACTGGGAAGGATGGAGCCCAGACGAGTACCTCTCGGGCGTCGCCTCGTACCTCACGGTCAAGCACGCACAGTCGAAAGGTGTGGTAACTTGCGCAAAGCACTACATCGCCTACGAGCAGGAGACCTACCGCAACCCTTACAACCTCTCCGAGCCGTACGAGATCTTCCCTGTCCTCGAACAAGACCCCATCGACAGCATTCTCGACGACCGTACCACGCACGAACTTTACCTATGGTCCTTCGCCGAGGCGGTTCGTGCCGGCACAGGCTCGGTTATGTGCTCGTACAATGAGGTTAATAGTACTCACGCATGTTCCGATAGCTACAGCTTGAACACGCTGCTCAAGGAGGAACTCAACTTCCAGGGAGCCGTGATCAGCGATTGGGGAGGAACTTGGTCCAACCAGGATTCGGCGCTTGGCGGTCTCGATGTCTCCATGCCCGGTACGGCGTACAACGGCAAGTTTGGCAACTTCTTCGGCCAAAGCCTCGTCGAGCTCGTGCAGAATGGCTCGGTGCCCGAGGCTCGTCTGGACGACATGGTGCTGCGTATCCTTGCACCTGCGATGGAGATGCAGGACTCAAGCTACCCGCAGCCTTCGTTCGATGTGCGCGATCTAACACGTCCGACGAACAACGTGCGCCGAGACCATCACAAGATCATTCACCAGATCGGTGTCGACTCGGTGACGCTCGTCAAGAACAACAACTCGGACGGCCGCGGTTTGCCGCTCAAGAGCCTCGACGAGCTGCAGACGGTGGCGGTGATCGGTCAGGATGCGGGAGACAACATGTACGGCGCCACGAGCTGCGGTGAGAACGGTCAGTGCAACATCGACGCCTTTAACGGGACTGTGACCATCGGCGGCGGATCGGGTTGGGCGTTCCCTCCGTACGTCATCTCTCCCGCTGCGGCGATCCAGGAGTACGTGCGTGCTGTCGGTCCCGATGTCAACCTGCACTTTGACAACTGGGATCTGGAGGGTGCTACGGCTCGCGCCAACTCGAGCGACGTTGCGCTCGTCTTTGCCAACACGTACGCCACGGAGAACCAGGACCGCCAGAACCTCACGCTCTGGGCCAACGCCGATGAGCTCATCAAGACGGTGGCGAGCAACAACAACAATACGGTCGTCGTCCTGCACACTCCCGGTCAGGTGGACGTCGAGGCATGGATCGACCATCCGAACGTTACTGCTGTTCTTTTCGCCTACCTTCCCGGCCAGGAGGGTGGAAACTCGCTGCCCAAGGCTCTGTGGGGAGAGAAAAGCCCTAGCGGTAAGCTGCCCTTCACCGTCGCGAAGAACGAGAACGACTACCCGCCCAATACCATTGTCACCGACCGCGTGACCGATCCAAAGGCGACGTTCGACGAGAAGCTGCTCATCGACTACAAGTGGTTCGACTACCACAACATCACCCCGCGCTTCGCTTTCGGTCACGGCCTTTCGTACGCCAAGTTCAACTACGCCAATTCGCTGAGCGTTGCACAGACTGCCAAGGCGGACAGCACGTCGGTGCAGCAAACCAAGGAGAAGCTCATCAACAGCAATGCAGGTCTGTACGACATTGCCGTCACGCTCGAGACCGAGGTGACCAACACTGGCAGCATGGCCGCGTCCGAAGTCGTACAGCTGTACGTCTCGTTCCCCGCATCGGCCGATTCGAAGGACAACCCACAGCCCATCAGGACGCTGCGTGGCTTTGAAAAGGTCAAGAACGTCCAGCCGGGCGAGACGCGGAAGGTGTCTTTCGAGCTGAGGAATAAGGACATTGCGGTTTGGTCGACGCTCAACCAGGGCTGGAAGATCCCCGAGGACAGCCCGCTTACTTTCAGCGTCGGTTCCAGCAGCCGCAAGATCCACTCCACCGCAGAGTGGACATACTACCCCTAGTCAGCTGCATCCGCACACGCTCGCTCAAGGCTCATCGTCAAGAATGCAATGGCAACACGTTTCACACTCGAAGAGCTGGTACAGGTTGAAAGTGGATAACGGGCTTCATGCATTTGCGACACCTGAAAATCAGCGACGCGAATGTGGGTAGACGAGGAGAGTGCACATGGAGAATGAGTGAAACCGTTTGTTTGAGTGAAGGACTTGGAGGAGTCGAGGACAAGATCCATATAGAGGTAAAAAAGGGCCGACGGCGCTCTGGCTGGTGCCGATTTGACACCTACCAGTGCCTCCTATCGATCGAATCTGCCGGTTTGTCGTCCTGATTCGCAGCCTGCGTCCCAGAGAGCTCCTTTGGTACGACCAGGACAGCGACCATCGCGCTACGTTCTCAAACTCATCTTCAGAGGCGTGAATCATATGTGTGTTGCGGCGTCGCTTGGGTCTTGAAGATGTTCGTGTTTCTCGTCTTTGGTGTCGGCCTTGAGCTCACGGTCAGAGTCGACCACGGTAAGACGGCGGCATCGTTGCATACGGACAAATGCCTTACACCCATCGCTCAACTGACCACACTGAATACAACGGCAGCACATTCGCATGCAAATGTGGTACAGGGTGAAAGTGGATATTTGCACATTAAACGAGAGATGATGCAAGTGGTATAACTACATTGTGGATACGAGACAAACTTGGGATATAGCTTTAGAACTGGGGGAGAGAGATCTTGGTCGTGTGGTCGATCTGTTCGTCGAGCGACTCCTGGCGCGGGAGGATGGTTCCGAAGAGCTTGTCCCAGACGCGGGTCTGCTTTCCGTAGTTGCCAGAGGTCTTCCAGCCCCTCGAGTGGTGGAGGTCGTGGTCCTCGATGGTGAGTTCCATGCCGAGCTTCCTCATGGGCCAGCTGACGAGGTCAAAGGCGGGCGGACCTCCGAAAGCGCGGATGCCAGAGTGGCCGGTGAGCTCGATGAACATGACGTGCGTCCAGCAGAAGATCCAGTCGTAGTAGCTCATGCTGACGATGGGCTTGATGGTGAAGTAGGCGAGCAGCGGAACAAAGACCACGTCGAACCATTCCTGCTCCATGTCGGCGTAGAGAGAGAGGATGGGCGTGGGATGCTTGGCTGTGTGGTGGGTACGGTGGAACTTCCAAAGCGCATCGGACTCGTGCATGACGCGGTGGTACCAGTAGAACCAGAAGTCGATGGCGAGCGAGTAGAGAGGCATCATGAGAGGCAGCCAGGGCGAAAGCTTCATGGGCTCGTCGCGGTTGTAGATGACGAGCGTAGCTGCGGCGGGACGGAAGAAGGCGGTCATGAGGAGCGAGTTGAGTACCTGCGTGACACGCACATCGGGCACGCCGTCACGGGCGGCATCGGCCTGGAGGTAGCCGACCTTGGAGGCGACGGAGCGCAGCACGTTGAGAAGGTTGCTGCCGAAGAGGGAGACAAAGGTTCCCCAGTAGAGGATGTTGGCGATGGGGTGGAAGTTGCGTCCGGCCCACTGCATGTAGAGGTACTGAAGTCCGATAGCGGGAAGGATGCGCATAGCGATCCAAATGTGGTGGGTGAAGTTGTTCCAGACGGGCATGGGGTCGTCCTTGTTGTGGTGCACCGCAGTTGCGTTCTGTGGAATTGGGTCAATGCCAAAGAGGTGGATCATCCAGTGGTGGAATCCCCAGGACGACTTGTTCTCGGGCTTGTGCCATGTGGACTTGAGTGGGCCCTGCGAGGGACGGATGGGCTGAGGCTCGAGGGGAGCCATCTTCTTCTTGCCCGCAATCGTTGGCTGAGTTGTTGTGGTTGTGGTTGCGACCGTCATGGTTGCGGGTAGGTGTGTGAGGCGACTGAGGAGGTGGGGATGGAAGCAAACACGAAGCGATTGGAGAGGCTATATACTTTGTGCTCGTCGTTTGCTTGTCTTTGTTGGGGAGGGGGAGGATTGCGGGGTTGGACAGGTGAGCATGCTGTGGCTGCGGTTGCCGTCGCTGTCAGACAGGGCAAAGTAGCGTGAAATCTGGGCGTGAGTGTGGAGCGGAGTCTGGCCGCCGCCGTTTTTGGAAATTTTTGTGCCACCCTGCAGTTTCACGGCGTTGCCTGTGGGCGCAGGCAGCCTTCTCTCACATGCAGTCGCGGCTGCCACGGTGGGCGTTCGTGTGAAACACTCTAACCCACACCGCTCAACAGTGGCCCAGTGGCCTCGACACGTCATTGCGAAACATCCAAGCCAACGTCGGCCATATCCGCCGCAGCACAGCAGGCCCCGCCCCAAGTGCATGGACCTTCGACTTCAGGAGGCACATCACATGCGCATGCATCGCAGTTGTCGAGCCGCACTTGCATCTCGATCGCGAGCTATCGTTGCCCAGACGGTGTGAGAGCATTCAGACTGTGAATCGTAGCGAGCCGATGGGGCTGCGTATAACTCGGTCAATTTTGCCACATTCGTCGCGGTCGGAGATTTGTGGCGGCAGCACGATGTGGGGTCGAGCATCGACTCAGACCCGCGGGGGTGACCCACTGCACAAGCTGGGCCCGTATCGCCTACCTCGTCTGCCAACTGCTCACGCCATGCTACTGCACGCCTGTGCGATGTGCTGAGTCGGCAGTGCATTGCGGCTGCCAACGAGCTGCGTGAAAAACTCGCATTCAGGAGCTTGGACCTCGTTAGGCTGCATCCTCTGTCACCCGCGGTCGGTGCACAAGACTGAGCCAAGCTTGGGCCAAGGGCAGTCTCGAGATGTCCGCGGCGCAGATCCAGCGATAAGCCGTGGCAAGATCAAGTCCAGGCTGAGTCGTGCTGGCTGAATTGTTCGCAGTCTAGTTAGCAACGTGTGTCACAAACACGACGGCTTGAGTTTCGTGCAGTGGCGGCTGCGGATGCATGAGGCCTCGTCACCTGCGCGTGAAAACCGAACCAAGAATTTCTCATCTCCGATATTCCAAATTCTTTCACCCGATGATCGGATTCCCGCATGGTTGGTGGCGTCCGATCCGACTCATGATTTCATTTCGGCGTATGCTGTCAGGCTCTGCAAGCGACTTCATGCGCCTCCTCGGCTTCACTCACGTCCAAAAGGCAACAACAAAAGTAAACCAGGAAGGTATATTGCGATCCATGACGACGTTGACGACGTTGACGACGTTCGACGAATGCGACAAGCCTGCTGCCATGCGTCTACTCGACGACGATGGGCGAGACGGCACAGTAGTCGAGGTTGTGCACCGAGGTGTCCGGGTTACCGGCCCAGGTCGGGAACGGCCTAGCCTTGCCACTGCCGCCAAAGACAGCAAAGGTGAGGATGAAGACCAGAGTCTGCGTACCACCGTCGAGCGCAGCCGAGACGATGTAGTTGTACTTTGTGAACCACACGGGGCGGTACTTTCGCAGCCAGTACTGCGCACCGAACCCGATCAGGAAGTACGACATGATCGACGCGTTGATGCCCACAAACAGCCAGCCGAGGTACCACGAGATGATGGAGAAGTTGAAGTAGCTCCATGCGCGGTGCGGCCAGATCTTGTTGCCAAAGTACATCGGCAGCGGCACCGCGAAGCCCACCAGATAGGCGATCGTCACCCATTCGTACTTGGCTCCGATCGAGAACATGTCCTTGGCGATCGACCACGCAATAGCGAGCGTGTTAAATTGCTGGATGTTCTGTCCCGACCAGATGTTGGTGCCCTGGACCGACTTAAGAACCTCCGCTTGATTATCGACGATTGAAATCATCATAACGTAATTGAGAAGGGCACCAACGAGGCAGCCGACGACCTGGACGGCGAAGGTGCAATACGGACTGAGATGGACGTACTGCCCGAGCTTGAGATCGCGAGCAAGCACCTGGCCCATCAAGCAGGCGTTGTAGGTGTAGCATGTGAAGTAGAGGTTCGCCAGAGGGCGGCCGGGGAAGAGGTAACCAGCAAGCATCTGGCAGATGGGCTGGATGTTGAAACCGAATCCAGTGATGCCATACTGGGCGCCGAAGAAGAGCAGGAAGACCATGGTGAACAGACTGCTGAGGATAAAACCCCACCATGGCAGCGTTGACTTCATCACGTAGAGGCAGACGATACCAACGATCCAGGAGACCACAAGGAGAGCACCCCACCACCACATTGGTGCCTCCTTGTAGCCGTTGCGCATCATGACCTTGTAGTGAGGATCGCACCTCTCGTCGTTGAGCTTCTCCTCAGCCCAGGCGGCCTCCTCCTCGGCGGTACGCTTGTACCAGAACTTGTACCAGTTGGGATCCGAAAGCATTTTCTTGATGCTGGATGGCGACGCCCACTCCCAACCGGCCTTGAGGTCGTCAAAGTTCCACAGGAGCATGTGGGTGAAGGTGGCGGTGAGACCAAGGTTGGTGGTAATCAGGTAGCCAAGGTAGGTGGCGGTGATCCAGGGCAGACCCTGGGCATCGAGAGCCTTTTGGTCGATGATGAACTCGGGCGTCATGATCGACGTCTGGTTGTAGATGAAGGCGTTGGTGCCGTTGGAGGCGTTGTCGAAGAGCTCCTGCGAGAGGAAGGGGAAATCCTGGGCGCGGAAGATGTTGCCGTAGTACAGGCCCATGAAGAGGACGATGCAGCCGAGGTAGCCGACCACCGAGTTGACCATGGTCTCGAGCGGCAGCCACAGCGGCGAGCCGAGCGAGGCGATGTACTGCCAATCGAGACACAGCGAGAGGAAGCCAAGTCCCTCGTTACCCGAAGCACCACCGAAGAGGTTGGTGAAGACCATGTCGTTCTGACGAGCCAAGCAGAAGATCGACACACCCTCGAGTACGGGGAAAATGTACTCGGGGAAGATTTCCCACACAAAGATGATGCCGGCGACGACCCAGAAGACCTTCATCCTCTTCTTGACGATCGTCTTGCTGTCGGGAGCCTTGCTGCCGTGGAACGTCTCGAGCAGCGAGGTGAGAGGCAGGTTCTGAGGCCACAGCAGTTTGACAGGGTAGACGAGCACGCTACGCAGCAAGCCAGCCATGGTGTACCCGATCAGCTGCGACGAAAGCACGAGAAAAATACCGGCTGCCTTGGAGGGGTAACCGCCGTAGAAGAGCTGCTGGGCAGCAAGCGCCTCGGTGGCCAGCGCAGACTGAGTACCAGCCGACGCCATCAGCGTGATGGCGGCGTGTTCCTTGAGGTTGAACGGGTGCGGGTTGAACCAGCGGCCGATGAAGCCGGACTTGGGGATGACCGCAGCCATCGCCTCGCCAATGGCGTACGCGATGACAGTGAGGAAGACGAGCGAGACGTAGATGACCTGGGGCTTAAAGTAGAAAATCTCCTGCAGCACCGAACCGAAGATAGCCAGGCCGAGACCGAGGAACCACATGCGGAACGTCCAGGGGTTGAGCGACGGGTCATCGTCGAGCGAGAGCACCTGGGTCACGATGTCCTTGGCCGAGGACACGACGTGGCCTTCCTCGGGCTCGGGCGTCTCGCCGGCATAGTCGGCATCGGCACGATCACCCTTGAGCACGTAGGCGACGTTGGAGACCTCGACGCCGTCCTTGTCGCTCGACTCGTTCTTGAGCTTCTCGGAGCTCGTGTCCGAGCCTGCCGCAGCAGGCTTGACGTCGATGGGGTCCATTGCGGCCTATCGCGTTGGGTGTACGCTTGGTGATTACGCGCACGGGGGGAAGAAAGGGAAAAGAGTCTTCACAGTCCTGCAGACGGGGGCAGGCTACAGCCGGGATGAGGGGGCGGCGGAGTGAAGTGGGTGGACCTGGGGGGATCAAGGGGAGGTGTTCTGGCCTGAAAAGCTCTTGTATATGTTCAAACCATGTGGTGCGACTGGAGATACCATGTGGGCCAGGTAGGGTCAATCAGCTCTGCAGCCAGGGTCGCGTTGCTTTGGGTGGCGAAGAGCGGCGGGCGACTGGCATCAGCCAGGAACAGCGCATGCAATCTTCAGTGGGTATGCATAGGGGAACGGACCGCCGAGCGCCGCGAAGAGCGTTGCGACAGGCATTGGGCTCAGAGCAGGTGCGGGATACTGCTGCTGCACACGACGGGCGCTCTCGCTTGGAGACGAGCGGTATCTGATGTGGCTCTGCCGACCTCGCGCGACGAGTTGATTAGGATGCGAGACGGCCAGCAATCAGTACATCACAGGCGTCGTGCGCGGCATCCGACGGCGAGCGTGCCGAAGCGGCAATTCAAGGTCCGTACCAGCCGGCAGCACAAGGTGCAAGCGATCCTGCTGGTGCAGAACCTCTATACCACACAACCCAGTTGCGCAGGTCGCTTCGGTCCCCGCTCCCTCTCGCTTTCCCCCATCCCCGCGTGCTTCAACAAAGCTCGGCAAAGCTTGACCGCTCCAGGTTCAATTGTGCCGCAAAGCTCGCGGACACGAGTGGCAGAGCTGTGGAGCCGTCAACTTTGCTGTGGGTGCTCCGAAATGAGAACGTTTTGAACATCTGCACCCGGTGGCCGGCGGGTGAATTCAGCGGCTGGCGAATCTAGATTGTGACAGATCCCGTGCGGTGTTGCGCACAATCAGCCGGCGGGCAAAGCAGGCTCGAAAGGGGCCATTGCACGACAGGCCGACGGGACACGGCAGCGTTAGGGCGACGTTGCTACAAGACAAGGGTGCATGCCGGCGGCAATGCGAGAGAGCGTTGGCCGGTGTTGCGCACTGTGCCATCCACCAATCACACGCGCCTTCACACATGCTGCAAGCGAAGAGCGTTATCTAGGCTAGGTGCGAGGTCGGTGCGGGGTAAAAAGCGTCGCGTGTGATTGGAGCCGCTGCTACAGAGGCCAGGCATGAGTCGAGGTGCTGCCGAGATGGCCGATTGAGATGGACGAAGCTGGGAGGCTCGGACGAAGGTCTTCCGCTGTCAGAACGGCGAGCGGTGCATAAAGCGGAGATTCGAATTTGCCGGTCGCCGCGCGCCAGCCGTCGTCGGCCTTCTTCGCTTCGTGCCAAAATCAAATTGCAGACCATCTCGCCCGCCGTCTCGGTCCGACAACAAGGGGGTTGAGGGTTTTGGCCACCCGCATGGTCGGTCATGTGCTCGATAGCTGGCTCCACGCTTTGGCCTTCCATGTCGCAGCGATAAGTGATAGGACCAGCCTCTTCCGACCCCGCATCAAATCAAGCGCGGAAGATGATTACATCGGGCGGCAGCTCGCACAGTGTTCCACTGACGATCCAATCGCAGTGGCCGCACGTCAGATCGGGGCTCTTTGAGCCGCTACCACGCTGCCTGCGACAATCTCCAGTAAAGCTATGCAGATCAGCTGGCAATGTTCTTCCAACACACCAGCAGCACCGTTCTCAGCGAGGCATGCCATATCTGTGTCTGCAACGCGGAGCGGGATTTGAATTCGCACCAATTCCTGCCGGCGGTCCAGGCCGCCTTCTTTTGGTTTTTCCCTGCATGTCAATTTGCACCTTTGCCTTGGAGCAGATAGGGAATGCCCTATGACCCTCCCATCGACGTCCGCAATTGATCACGTTGAGTGCCGGCAGTGCCATGCACCTTCGGATCAATCGGAATCGACGACCGCGAAAGCCATCGATTGGGTGACGCAAGCAGCGCGCCCTGCCAATCCTGGCAGGCCCTCAGAGCGTCGCTTTGCGTCGGCTCTAACCATTCGCCGCTCGAACGTCAAAACCCACGATCCCGGAACGCTGTGGGTGCAGCAGCAGAGAAACGCGTTCATTGATTGGTGGCAATGCGTGATTGACTTCGGCGCGATTTAGGTGTCGCCCGGCACTGACAATCACGGAGCGTGGTGGTCCGTCGAACTGAGCTCCCTCGCGGCCAGTTCGGCTCGGTCAACCTTTGCGAGGCGTCCGTGTCAATCTGATCGCCTTGATCCTAATCCTCAATGTGAGAGCGCTTGAAACCAGATGAGCGTTGGTGTATGCGGATGTCTCCGTTCGCATGTAGACATCTGCCATGTGATGCCGCTCAGGCTCCTACTTGCTTAGATACTGTATCGGCGCAGGCAAAGGACCACGTGAGCAGCCTTTCTGTCGTTCCGGTTTATCAGCATCATTTCTGTGGCAGTGACAGCCGATGAGGCACCTGGAGCATTGAGAACGTCATGAGATCCTGGCTCGCGCATTGGACTCGACTCGCACATCTGCAAAGAGCGGCCATGGACGATAGCGCTGAGGGAGGGCATCAAGAAGATGTCGCTCGACGAGCCTCTCGTGCAAATATTCTAAATGTTCAAAGTCTCGGCGCAACACATTTTTATTTTCGAGTCGGAACTCGGACCTCCAAAAAGTGGGATCTTCAGGGCCTCTTTTTGCATTTCTTCCGCCTCGGCCTCGGCTTCTTTGGCTCCACGACACCGCTCCCACACTGACCATCCTCCTCCTGCACCGGAAGCGACTGTCAGCAGCACCAAACAGCATCAGCCATGACAGACGGATCGTCTGCTGCCGATGCCGGCTCGAGCCCGCTTGCCAAGCGACAGAAGCTTGATGATGGACCCGCCGTCCCCTCCAGCACCGAGGCGGGTGCCGAGACCAGGATGACCGAAGCACGCGCCGGCATCACCGCATACGTCGAGCCGAAGCTGGCCGGCTTTCAGGGCATCATCAAGCAACGCTTCACAGATTTTATGGTCAACGAGATCGACCTCACGGGCCAAGTCTGTCGCCTCACCTCGCTCGATCCTACCCCGGGCAAGTACCTGCAGCAGCTTCGACCGGAGGACGCCCCCGCACGCTCCGCCGAGCAAGAGAAACAAGCAGCGGAGCAGGCCGCAAAGGAGCAGGTGAAGGCGGCGGTACAAGGAGGCATGTGGCCCGAGGAGGCGGATTCGAAGCTGGCGACGTTCTTTACGAACGAGGCGATCGTCGGGCTCAAGGAGATGTGGGCCAAAGGGCGGCAGAGCGAGAACATGGCAACGGGTGCCAATGCGACGCTCGTCTCGGCAGCCAGCATCACAACACGGCCGTTGGAGGACAAGGAGCAAAGGACGCAGGTGCACAAGCTTGTGCGCGAGCTGTTTGCAGGAAAGCTCGCGACCGACTCGTGTACGGTCAGGCCCCGGGGCTCTCGGGCCGGAGACGATGACGAAGACGCCATGGCGAATGGCGGCGGCTCGGCGGCTGCGACGAGGATCGCTGTGCGCTGGGCGAATAGGTCGGACCGACGGGCGGGTGATGGATTGTCCGAAGAGGCGAACAACTCGCCGCCGTACATCCACTTTTTGCTGCACAAGACCAACCGCGACCACCAGGAGGCTATGGGCATGCTTGCCGAGAGCCTGAGGCTCGGAGGTGGAGGTGGCGCGCGCGGGAGAGGCCGAGGAAGGGGAGGCTTCGGTGGACGCGGAGGAGGCAGGCCACCAACCAAGGATCTGTCGGTGGCAGGCACCAAAGACAAGCGTGCAGTGACCGTGCAGAGGGTCTCGCTCAAGCGCAACCGCAAGACGCTCGACGACGTATACCGGCTGGTCAACGGCATCAACGCCGACATTGCTGCAGGCGCAGATGCGAATGCCAAGGGCAAGGGTAAAGGTCGGACCGTGGCAGATGCCGTGAGCAAGAGGGCTGATCGTGGCCTGCGCATCGGCCATCTCGAGTACGCCTCGCAGCCGCTGAAGCTCGGCCAGCTCAAGGGCAACGAGTTTACCATCACGCTGCGCAACGTGCGACCGAGCACGGGCGGCGAGGTGGACGACGCATTTGTGTCGGGCGTGCGTGCGTCGATGGACGTCATCCGCGACCAGGGGTTCATCAACTACTTTGGCATGCAACGCTTCGGCACGGGTGCGATCCCCACCCATCACATCGGCATCTTGATCCTCAAGAACGACTTTAAACAGGCCGTCGAGCTGCTCATGACGCCTCGAGCCGCGTCCGGACCCGATGCGGATGATGGCGACTCCGCGGACTTACTCCGTGCCAAACAGCTGTATGGAGAGGGAGAGCTGGAAAAGGCCTACCTTGCGGTGCCTAGGCACTGCGTTGCGGAGAAGCACATTCTCGATAAGATGCGCAGTAACAGGTGGAACCAGGGCGACTGGACGGGTGCGTTTGGCAATGTGCCGCGGACGCTTCGGCTTATGTACGTGCATGCGTATCAGTCGTATGTATGGAATCGCCTTGTCTCGGAGCGGATTTCGCGCTTCGGCACGCACGCGGTGGAAGGCGATGTCGTCTTCACCGACAATACGGATGACTGGGACGCATATTCGACTGGACACGATGCTGAAGATGCCGATGAAGATGACGATGATCTCCGCAACGCCAAGCCCGAGCTGGCTACGTGGCAACGACCTACCAAGCAGCTGTCTGCCGCCGACCTTGGTACGGCGAGTATCTACGATGTAGTGTTGCCGCTTCCGGGTTCGTCCATCGACCTGCCGGAGGGATGGATGTCGGAACTCTACCACACGATCCTGGCTGCGGACGGGCTGAGGCATGCTCAACTGAGCGCATCCAAGATCCCAGAGTATCAGCTGCGCGGATCGTACCGTCGTATGCTCGTGCGTCCGCGCGCGTTCGAGTACAACATCACCCAGTACACCGATCCCGACATCGCCCTCACGCTCACCGACGAAGAACGATGCCTCGGCCTTCCACCCACCACCGACGCAGACACGGCAGCAGAAGGCCAAAAGTTCACCGCACTCACACTCAAGTTCCAGTTGCCCTCGTCGTCGTATGCCACCATGCTGATGCGCGAGGCACTCAAAAGCGATACCGCCAGCTTCAAACATCGCCAACTCACCCAGGCCAGCCAAGACCAACACTTCAAAGGCTCCGCCACCCAATGATCTCCCTCCCTCCCTCCCTCCATCTCATCATCCTAGCTCGCGTTTCTTTATCAATGTCACAGATTCCAATCATCACGCGCAATATCGTGCCTGCGCAGAAATCGGTGCGTTGCCAGAGACGGCCGTACAAATACAAACGAGTCATAACCAATCGGGATCACTTGAGTCGACCTTGCCGCGGGCGGGCGGGCGGGTTACGCAGCCTGCTTCTTGACGCGCTTCTGGTCGAACGTGCCTGTCGAGGTGTCGGATGCACGCTTGCTGCGCATCGAAGTGCGCGTTGGGCGCATGGCCGATTGCAGACCCGTGCCGATGGCGGCGCTCGCTCCTGCTGGGGCGCTTGCACTGAGCAGCGCCGCATCGAGCGAGGGCACCTGCCTGCTTCCGTCGACAATCACCACGCTCTCCATGGGGTCGGTGGTGCGCACCGCACGCGGCGATGCGTGTGGGAACGGCGACAGCGACGAGGGCGCCGGACTTCCCGAGCCGGCGCGGATGTGTCCGGGACGCCCGACGCGCTTGAGCGAGCCCGTCGAGTCGGTCCTGGCGATCGCGCGCTTGGCCAGCGAAGGTGCAGCCGCTGCCGTCGGCGCAACCGAAGCCTGCTGCTTCTTGGACGTCGACGAGGCGCGCTGTCGGGCAGGAGCCGATGCTGGCGTGGCAAACCGGCCAAAGTGGCCGTGCGGTGAGCCGAGCGAGGCACTGAGAACCGGCGGCGGCTGGGCATACGCCCACGTAGAGGTGGGCATGCCGAAGCGCGCATTCTTGCGACTCCACACAGAGACGAACAGGATGCGTTTCATCTTGCGGTTGTAGAAGAATGCAAACGTCGACCAGAGCAGACCGGCGCCCGTGCCGTCCAGGTCGTCCTCCTCGTCGTTGAAGCTCGAATCGTGGTACGACGAGTAAGACGCAAGACTCGACGATTCCATGGATGGACGCCTCTTGGTGTCGAGACCACCGCGCGAGAGCACCACATTGCCGTCCGGGCCAATAGTGGCGATGGTTTGCGGCGCCTTCTTTGCGCCTCCAAGCCCCTCGCCATAGACGTCTTCGTCAAACATGGGAGCGTCGACCATCTCTTCGTCGTCGTCGGCATGCATGGCTCGCGCTCGCGGCGTGTCCTCGCGGCCGCGCATGCCAGGGCTGTCGTCGTCCCAGTACTCTTCGTCGTCGTAGGGATCATCGTCGCCCAGATCACCCTCCTCCTCGGGCTCGGCGCTCGCGTGCGGGTCCGAGTCCATGTCCGGATGGAAGGTGTACACCTCGCAGTCGGAGACGTTCATAATGTCGTCGAGGATGTGCGAGAGTGCGGGATGGGTGATGAGAGGCGGCAGAGAGCCAGTGTTGAGGCCGGAGCCGGGCGAGCCGCCTGTGGAGCCGAGCGCAAAGCCGGGCTCCTCGAACGATCCTGGAAAGGAGCTGTAGGAGCGGGGCGCATTGGACGAGGTCTTGAGGCTGAGCAACGTGGTGCTGAGCGAATTGAGCACCATGGCCGGGCTGGACTCCTTGCGAAAATCGGCCGGGTTGACCTCGCTGAAGTCATGGTCGGGGAAGGCGACATTGAGCGTTGCGATGAGCAGGAACAGGGTCTTGCGGGCCGAGGCCTGGTCGAGACGACCAAAGGGCGACGCCAGCGCCTCCTCGAGATAGTCGGGCGGCGAAGTAGAGGCCGAGCTGAGATAGGTGGACTCGAGGTTCTTCAAGAGGCGCTTCTCCTTGGAGACGGTTTTGCACGAGTAGGCCTCCATGCGGGTGAAGACCTTGCATTCGGCAGACTCGAAGGTAAGCGCCCTCGAGAGGAGCTCGAGCTCGGGGTACTCGAGATACTTCATCGTGTGGTTTCGGTGAGCGGAGAGAGGGCTGTATTAGCATCAAGGGATGGCAAGGATTAGCGGTAAAGAGAAGGCGCGAGCGAAGAAAGAAGCAGTCAAACGAGCGAAGACAAGATATGGACGCAAGCCAAGACAGGAGAGCAGATAGAGTCAGCAAGCGCTGTTGAATTCCATCCAAGGCTAGTGTCGGAGAGGACCATGCCCCTAACAGCATGGACGATGTACAGGTGGAGGGTCGCGGCAAGCGTGCCTGGCCTAATGCGAGGCGTTCATGGGGTACCCTGCGCTTGACCCGACGTGTCGCAGCGAGGGAAGGATCTGAACCGAACTTCGGTCCAGAGCTGCGACACGTGAGGCAAGCGAGGGCGGTGCCGAGAGACCGCCACGGATTGGCCAGGATGCGAAGCTGCAAGCGAAGGGACTGCAAGAAAGGGAGGAAGCATGTAAGGGCGATGGGGAAATACTCACGCCTATGCTCGGCAGGTTAGCTCTGATAAGAATGGTGATTGAACGATCAATCGAGCGGTCCGGAGAAGAGGAGGCTTGTGAGGCACCCGGAGGTGGGTGTTAGCTTGCGGTGTACCAGCGGATTGCGCTGAGCAAGAGCGATGCAGAGGGGGTGGGAGGACGCAGAGCTTACGCGTGGATCGCGCAAGTCGGCCCAGATGGAGATAGGGGGAGCAGAGGGGGGCTATCGTCGAACACGCCTGGATTGGGTGCCCGAGATGGAGAGGGAGAGATGGGACGTATCGCGTCAATCGCGATGATCTCGTTGGACTCGTATCGGTATCCAGAGGTGATGGAGGGAGGGAGGATGTCCGTGTAGAGGCCGAGGACCGGACTTGAGAGCGAGCAGCGGAGGCAGCCTTCGTATTTTGCTGCGCTCTGCTCAGGTCCGGCTACTCAGACACTGTAGCGGTGCAGCGCGCTCAGGCAGTGCACATGACGGACGCGCAGGGGCGGATGCGCACGTTGAGACGCCCTGTGGCTGAGGTGCCGATCCACGGCAGCGCGTGGACAGGGCGATTAGCCTGCAGGCGTGCTGCCACCCTGCCACCCTTAATTTGAGAGTGCGGAGGGGCGGCTGAAAGCGGGCATCGACACTCTCTCTCGAAGCCGAATTGCGGCGTCAGATCAGTGTCGCTCTCAACGCGTCTCGTCTGACAGCAGCTGGTGACCAGCGCTTTCATCGCATTGACCCACGCACGTTCGCAGGATCTGCCACGCCTGGCTGCGCGGCGGATTGAAGCCGACAGAAGCCTTCGCTCGAGGACTGGCAAGCGCTCGTCGTCGGTGTGCAGTGACAGAAGCGCGTCCGTGACTGAGCGCACGGTTGATCCGACGAATAAGCTCACATCGCCGACTGCGCGTGAGCAAAGCTTGAGCCTCAGCCGTATCAAGATCAAGCTCTGTAGTTCGCGGCATTCAGTCCAGCACGTCTGATATGGCATCTGCACTTGGACGTGCTGTTGAATGCGCGATCGAATGCGGAGGTGATCATAGCAAGGCCACAGACCCTGCTTCGCTGTGCAGCGCTGCAAGTCGATGCATTTGGGAGCCGTTGCCGTCTGCAGAGAGTGCTCATCATTGGTGGAGCTCCAAAGCCAATCAGCGCTGAGAGCCGCTTCTTTGTGCAAATCTCACATGTGGCCCCACAGCTGCATCGGGATGAGTGAGCTCGTCGCGATCGGTGCGATCCTCGTCGACCGCGGACCTATTTTGGCGTCTTTTCGTACGAGTGTTGGACACTCTCAATCTTGGGTGAGAACGTGTCTGTAGCGCGACAGCGGCTTAGAAACGCGCTCAACTTTGGGGCAGAACAACAGCGGACTGCCAAAATTGAGAGAGAGCCACGCCGAGCCGCCAAGCAGAGTGATGTGTAGCCGGGCTACGGCAGATGTGCGTGGATGTCAACTAACACGGCGAGCCCAATACGCACCGCTGTGACGCGCCTGGGCCGAGGCAGCAGCAGCAAGGGCGAGCCGCCGAAAATCACGGTCGCCTCTTTTTTGCAGCCCCAACGTCAGTCGAGTTGGACGAGTGAGACACGAGGCAGCAGAAAAGCGCGCTCCCCTCGCAGGTGTTGGCTTTTTTAGACGTGAGTGAGTGAGTGACTTACGGTGTATCGCTTGGATCCCCACCGTGACACGCGCTCGCAGGGTCATCCTCGCCCGATTTCCCCTCTTTCATCTGCTCGCCATCGCGCTCACCTCTCTCTCTCCCCCATCTCCCGACTTCCATCTCCTACGCGCGCCCTTCCGCATTCCGCTCGCCATCGCCACCCCTCCCTGACTTCTTTCCTTTTTCATTCACACCATCACGCTCGTGTATTTCGCGTGCTTCGTCCTCGCCAATCACCCACCACCTTTGCGCGTCGTCGCTGGACCCTTCGCTTCGTTCGACCACCTTGATATCACGCGCAACACTCGCAACCATGCCTGCCGCCTCCACCGCCCGCAAGTCGACGCCTACGCGCAAGTCGACGCCCCGACGCGCCCGCTCTTCCTCGGTCGCCTCCAACGCCTCCACTGCACCTCCCGCCTCGCCCTCGGCCTCGCCTCGCAAGACCAAGAAGGAGAAGGAGGCCGCTGCTGCTGCCAAGGCGGCCAAGGAGATCAAGGAGACCAAGGACGCCAAGTCCGACATCGCACGTCCCAAGCTGCCCACCAAGAAGAACCCCAGGCTGAAAGAGGTCGACGAGGCCGTCGTCAAGCTCCAGACCATCAAGCGCGAAGGCCACAACATCATCATCGGACGCGTCAAGCTGCCCACCGTCAACGGTCAGGACCACGCCTTCCTCCTCAAGCGCTTCGACACCAACGCCATGGCCGCCTCGTCCATGTTCCGCCTCGCCTTCCCCTTCGCCGACGGCAACGCTGAAGCGGCCGAGATGCAGTTCCTCGACGCAAAGTACGACACCAACCGCGCCAACGGCGGCTACATCCTCGAGGAAGTCAAGGCGCCCGAGACGCCCAAGAAGCGCGGCCGTCCCCGCAAGAACCCCGAGACGCCCAAGAAGGACGCCGCCACCGACTCCGAGTCCGTCGCCGGCGAAAAGCAGATCCGCGTCCTGCCCGAGGGCAGCACCGGCGTGCGTCTCCAGGGCACCTGGATCCCCGCCGAGGACGCCGCCGACGTCGCCGAGGACTACGGCATCGCCAAGTTCGCGCTTGCGCTCATCCACGCCACTGCCGAGCACTCCGAGGACGGCGGTCCGCCCGTGCTCACTTCGGCGCCCGCCACCGAGGTCAAGACGCCGCGCAAGCGCCAGCGCACCTCGACAGCCGCCTCGGCCGCCTCGGACGCGGAGTCGCCCAGGCTGGTGCAGAAGGTGACGCGCGTCGAGAACGCCGACGGCACCATCTCGCAGGTCAATGTTGAGACGACCATCGAGGGAAGCACCAACGGCATCCCCGCTGCGCTCTCGCAGGCCGAGATCGAGGCGCAAATCGCCGAGGCCAAGGCGCTTGCTGCGGGCATCCAGAAGCAGGCGGGTGCGGCAGGCAAGGGGGCCAGCCGCGGCCAGAAGCGCCGCGCTGTCAACGACCGACCCACCGCCGAGCTCGACCTGATGGCCGACGACGACGACTACGCCGAGTCCGGCAGGGTGGTGCGCGCCTTCAGGAGGGGCACGCGCGTGGCGCGCAAGAGGCCGATCGCCACGACCGCCGGTGCGCTGGCGGCTGCGGGTGCCGTGGGTGCCGGTGCGCTCGCGTGGATCTCGGGAGGCAACCCGGACCTGGCGCTGCAGACGCTCCAGACGAGCCTGCAGAACTTGGGCCTGCAGAATCTGCAGCAGTTTGGTGGCCAGCTTGGTGGCCAGCTCGCCTCGATGCTGCCGTGGTAAGCCGTGGCTTGTGCGCAGGGGAGCGCCTCCAACCCATCTCGAGTGCCAGTGCCCAGTTGGTGTGGGCTCACAGCACTGCTCGAGACGATACCTTGCTCCCCCAGTTGGCGCATTGCAGCGTATACGACCTATTGGCGGTTATAGCACTCGCTCAACCGATCTGCCGCGCTTCTTGTTGTGAATACGCTCCGACTTTCCTTTTTTCGACCTCGCCCCCCGACCCGAGACGCACTCTTTGTCTCTGTACTTTTGGCTTCTCCTCCTTCTCTCCGACGTGTGTGCGTCTATCTGGACTCTCTCGACACCCCCTTGCGCCTTTTCGACCTCTTATTTTTACCTGTACAAAAACAGCCTCGCGCCTGTTGCCTCGATCGAAAGGGGATGATGGCGAAGGCGTTTTCTATGTTTCATGTAGCCACCACCCGTGTACCTCGTCCGAGTGATTGGGTGGCGGTATGGGATTCCTCCTTTCTCGCGTAATCCGATCCAGAACTCTCTCTTCGACTGGCAGCGTGTGTATGTGTGAAGATCAAGCAGATTAAAATTTGGGTTGGATTGGGAGGATAGGAAGGGTGGACTCCATATGAGGGTGGGCAATTTAGGCTGGTGAATTGGACAGACGTTTCGAGAAGGTTAGTGCGGTACTCGAAAATGAGACAAGTAGTGAAGTGAGACTACATACCCTTCTTTCCGTTGATGGCGAGCAGTTCGACGTCGAAGATGAGGTCAGCGTTGGGGGGGATAACACCAGCAGCGCCGGCGGAGCCGTAACCCTCCTTGGCAGGGATGATGAGCTTGGCCCTCTCACCAAGGCTGAGCTGGGGCACACCCTGGTCCCAGCCCTGAATGACACGGCCGATACCAATAGCAGTCTGGAAGGGGCCACGACCGGGCTTGCGCGAGCTGTCAAACTCCTTGCCGTTAGCAGCAAGCGTACCGGTGTAGTGCATGGTGACAGTATCGCCCTGCTTGGGGAAGTCGGTACCGTTACCGGGGGAAATACGCTCGATCTGAACCATCTTGACGCAAGAAGTGCTGAAACTACGAAGAGGTGTACGAAGAATCGGTCGAAGTGACATGGTGGGGCAGAAACAACTTCCGTAGATCAATCAGAAACGTGTTTGCAGCTTGGCCCAAGCACCATCCCCCGCGCAAAAAGGTGGAGCATTTCGACTCTTTTTTTTTTCTGTTCCCCTCCCAAAGTGCCCAATTGCATTCGACGCTCAGGCCAGCTCCGCACCGCTCAATCCTGGCGCGATCGCACGTCATGGAAGCCTCGCCAACATCGGCTTCATCGGTCCCCTGCCTCACCCCGATCATTTCCGCTGCTACGCCACGACCATTGCAGCACATACATCAATGATCATTTGAAAAGCGACGACATGCTGTGAACTATGATGAAGCCGGTTACTGAGCCTGCAGCACCCTGCGAGTGATCTTCTGCATCTGCGCCTCGCCCTCGTCCTTGACCTCTCGCTTCTGTTTGGCCCACACGTTGGGCCCTTGGCCGTCCATCTGCCTGTAGGTGCACCAGGCGTACCACAGCGTCGTCCTGAGCGAGAGTACGTCTTCCTTCCATGCCTTCTTGTAATCCTGCACGAGCTCCCTGAACTCGGCGGTGAGCTTGAAGCACCGATCCACGTTCTGCGGACTGACAAAGTCGACGGCAACCTTGATGCAGTCGGCCAGATTGCACACCTGATGCGCGCATCCGGCAGGGATGAACACCGCCTCGCCTGCCTTCTGGTAGATCCTCCAACTCCTCACGCCGTACTCTTGGTAGAGCTTGACGCGCTGCTGCGCATCGATGAAGAAGCGCTGGATGTGGATCGGGTCGTCCCGAAATTCGATGTGCGAGTACTCCTTGCGCAAAAACGCACGCAGCTTGTCGGCGTCGTCTGCGCGGAAGATATCCCAGGCTGCCACGCCTGGTCGATGCTCGTCCGGGACGTCCTCGCCGGTGGGCGGCGAAGCGTGCAGCATAATGTTGACCGCATCCGCAATGTCCATGTGCAGTCTTGTGGTACCGATTCCGCCGGGCGCCTCGCTGCCGGGCCAGGCGTTGTACATCTTGGGCCCGAGATCCGGCTGGATGACACCGGTGGGGTAGCAGCTGCCTAGGTTCAGCACTCCCTCGCGAGTGGTATAGTCGGGTGCGGGCACGACCCCGTTGAAGTCGTCGTAGAGCTCGGGGAATTCGGCCTTGAACTCGGCGGAGGGTGGCCAGTCCTTGAGCTTCCAATGGCCGCGTCCGAGCGCCGCTCGCTTTGTTGTATCGTCCTGACCAAAAGTGGCAAAGAAGTCGCCGACGGACACCTGCTTGAGCTCGGCATTCTCGACGTCCGAGCGCACGATGAAGCAGTGTTCGTGACCGTAGCGCGACTGCAGCGCATCGGGCCCCCACGGATGATGCATTGGCTCAGTGACATGGCGCACCAGCAAGGGCTCGCCGTGCGCCCACTCGCGTCGGAAGTCGTCGGTACTGAACGAAGCGCTGTCGAAGGTGCGTAGGTCCAGACGTCCGACGATGCGGTCGGCGGTGATACCTGCCTGGTTCGTTGGCACATCCTTCCAATTGACTGCCGTGTGTTGTTCGTCCTCCGTCCCGGGCATGGATTGCTCGGCTTCGTTGGAGGTCGACGCTGCGGCGGCAGGGGCGGGGTGTGCTGGAGCGGAAGTTCGGACGCCGCCCGTCTTGACGTCGGTGAGCATGTTGCGCATGGCCGAGACTTCCTGGTGGAGGAGCGCCTCGTCGAAGCGCGTGAGCGGGACGAGGTCGGCAGTGGCATGCGGCAGCGTCTGGTCGCACCGCAAGATTCTCTTGGCGAGCTGACGATCCAGCGAGTCGGAATGTTCGATGCTATGTTTGCAGTCGGCGCAGTATTCCCTGCCGCAGCGACGGCAGAACCAGCTGGCGGAAAATATGCTGGTAGCGCAGAACTCGCACATCTGACGGCAGGTTTTCTCGCGCGGCCTTCGAAGAACGTTTGGGAGGCGTGCGTGCTCGAGCTCTGCCTCAAGGACGGGCAGAAGCGCCCTAGCGACGTCGCCTTGCACTTGAGAAAGGTGCGAGGTGGAGATGAGGCGAGCTGTAGGCAGATCCATCACCTCGTCCGAGTCGGGTGAGAAGAGGAAGGCTGGTAGCGAAGTGCGGTTTTGGTCTGGGGGCGTGATTTGGTCGGTGTGTGGATCGACTCGGAAAGCGCGAAAGTCGACAAAGCGGCAAGTGTCGCCGGCGCGCTTTGTAATGCAATGGACGCACTTTCGCCATTGCTTGTTTTGGGCTGCTTGACAGGTACCAACCTGGAGCTCCCACACGACGCCCTGGTCGTCTTGGAAGCGCCGACCGTGTATGGCGGCGGGAGACCTTGCGGCCGAGAATGTCGACTGTGCGACTTTCTTTCTTGCAGCCTTGCCGGGATACGTGGTGGTTGAAGGGGCAGAAGACGGGACCGAAGGTTCTGATGAGCTGTTCTGCTCCACTTTGGTGAGGACGCCTGTGGAGAGGCGTTTCTTTTTGGAAGATGAAGCGATGTTGGTGGTATCGAATCCGTCAAAGTCGGCGTACGACTGGTGCAATTGCTGGATATTCTGTTGAGCAGCCTGAGCCGCGCTACGTTTGGAGGCGGTGCGGAGCGGAGTGATGGAAGGTGAGGGCAACTGGCGCGTTGGTGGCGGATGTGCGGATGGAGGAATGAGGATCACCTCATCCTCGACAGAAGACAGTGAGGACGTTGGGGAGGGAGGGCTGGCGGGCGCAGAAGAGGTAGATTCTCGAGAGCCGCTTATGGACTTTCGGTCTTTGTACGTCTTGATGGTCTCTATCTTGGATTCGGCCATCTTGGCAGCGCGGCGCTGCGGAACGACTGGAAACGACACTTCCGCAGGATTCGTCATCCCTAGGTTGTATCCGATGGTCTTGAAGACCTGTGCTGTGGTGAAGAAAGGAATCGCCTAGGTCACTGCGAAGTGTAGATGTCGATGCTGCGTTTCATTGAGGTGTGCTTGAGGGAGATGGCGTGCGGATGCGGAAAGTGGTGCGAAAGGAGGGTGGGGACCGTGCGGGCGTGGAGCGTAGTAGGTGCTGAGCCAGGCTACTTTTCGAGAGACGAGACCAATATGGAGCGGGGCTTCTGGAGGAGCGCAAACGACCAAAAAGATGGATCAAAGGATGATGGTGGTGGTGTGAGAAGAAAGAGCGGAAGGAGCGGGCGACTCTTGCTCAGCCCGAAGACGACATGGAAGTGGCGGTGGAGATGCGAGGCGAGTCCAACTGCATTTCAGGGTCCACCTCAGTCAAGTTGACTTTCTGCTGCGCTGCCCAACGGCTGGCGGGAGGGCTTGGCCTGCGCATAAAGTCGCGCACTGCCCAAATGAGGAAACGATCCGCTCACCTACCGCTCTTTTGGCTTTAGAGCCGGAATCGCAATGAACTGCGCAGTTGTCGGATCACTCCTTCTGCGCAGCATGTGACCAAACCCCTGACGCTTAACTCAACTTGACCAGCAGCTCTTAGCTTTGAACGAGAGGGCAGAGCGACTCAGCTCGGGTTGAGCCGAACGACAAAGCATTCGCACGCGACACGGCTGCTCCGACTGAAAAACATTGCGAAAATCCGAAATTCCCGGAAAAAAAGACGGCCAACAAATCGTGCCCGAAAAGAACAGGCGGTGTTGGTCAGCTGTGCATCCGTGCATTCCATGCAAACCGGCTCAGGGCGAAAGTGGAGGTCTTCGGCTGCTCCTGAGCGGCTAGTGGATGGAATCGGAGAGATGCTTTATCACCATCACCACCCCCGCACTCTCACGTACTGGAACTGGAACATGGCGCTCTGGACGTGGCTAAAGGATGTGATCGGCGTGGGTGCGCTGCCCAGCCCGCCGTACTCGCCCGCGCAGCTCTACTCGGTGGTGCTGGCGTCATTCAAGGCGTGGCCTTTCCTGATCCCGGTGCTCTCGCTCATCAACGCGCCGCACGGCCGCTTCGCCTTTGACAGCCTGCTCAACATCAACGGTAACCTGGGCTGGTTCCTCATGGAGATCCCCTCGCCCATCTTTGTGCTGCTCGGTGCGCTCTCCCAGCCGCTCTCCGGTCGCGTGGTCAAGGGCACACACGGATGGCTGCCGCCTCTCTCGGCGCTCTTCTCGCCCTCGATCGAGCGATTCCTCGCGCTGCCGTCGCCGAACCAGGTGCTGGTCGCGCTGTTCCTCGTGCACTATACGCATCGTGCGGTGTTGCAGCCGCTGCGGTCGCCGAAGAGGTCGCCGCTGCACATCTCGGTGCCACTGTCGGCGATCACGTTCAACCTGATCAATGGATTTGTGATGGGCAGCTGGGTCGGTGGGCGCACTCCTTGGGCGGCTCTGCCACAGCCGGCTCTTGTGTCCGCAGCCACCGCCGCGTTGGGCGCCAAGGCTGGAGGCATCGCGAGCAAGTTTGCCGCGTCGGAAATCGTCCGTAGGCTGATCGTCGCCGATGCACCCGATGCGCTGGGCTTGGGTGCGCCGGGACTCATCTCGACCGACGTGTGGAAGCAGCCGCTGTGGTACCTCGGTCTCGCTGGCTGGGCCATCGGATTCGCCGGCAACGTGTACCACGACGAGATCCTCATGGACATTCGCCGACCCAACAACAACGCATCCAAGGCGCAAGACTCTACCAGCGTCGGCAAAGGTGCTTCGGCGCGCAAGTACTCGATCCCGCGTGGAGGCCTGTTCGAGTACATCAGTTTCCCCAACTATCTGTGCGAATGTGAGTGTCCCCCCCGCGCCGGCCGTCGAATCACGGAAAGAACATCGCTTGACTGACTCCCTCTCTCCCTCTCCCTTACTTAATCGGGCAGGGTTCGAATGGTTCGCGTTTGCATGGGCGGCGCTGTATTCGCTGCCGATCTTTGCGCATCTCACCGCCAAGGACGTCGTGGCAACCGCGCTGTCGACGCCGCCGTTCCTGTTTCCATTTGTGCTGGTGTGCCTCATGGCTCCGCGCGCCACCAACGGGCACAAGTGGTACAAGAAGACGTTTGGCGACAAGTTCCCGCGCACCCGCAAGGCCATCGTGCCGTTCGTCTTCTAACCTCCCATACCCTGGAATTGCATCCCTTTCGCAGTCGGTGCTTTTGTCTGCAGTGCAAGCTGAGGGTTGAGCGAGGAGGTGAGTGAGGCGCGTGTGTGGGGGTGGGAAAATGTCGGGTGTCGGAAATTGCAGCGTTGGTTGCTGTGAGGCCAAGATTCAGCTCGAGGCTGGTGGGGCGCAATTTGACCTGCAACGACCAACGACCCACGATGGAGGACGACGAATTGCAAGCTATCCGTGCGGCGCGCATGGCCGAACTTCGAGGCTCCGGCTCTGGCGGTGCCTCTTCTGGCGGCCCCTCCGCTCCCAGTGGTAAGTCCTCTTCCCTGCCGACAGCTTCCGATTCAGATGTGCTGACTTTGCAGAAGGTTTCGGAGGTAACGCCGGAGCGGCTGGTGGCAAGGGACAGGAAGATCAGGCGGCCCAGCAGGAGGAAATGAAGCGTCAGATGCTCAGTCGTATCCTCGATACTGACGCCCGTGAACGTCGTAAGTACAGAGCAAAAGCCAGACAAAGTTGAAGGTTGACTGACGCGGTTGAGGCGGTGGGATAGTGTCGAGGATCGGGCTGGTCAAGCCACAGAAGGCGCGACAGATCACAGACCTGCTCATCCGAATGGCTCAACAGGGTCAGATTAGGGGCAGGATCACAGAGGATCAACTCATCGGTCTCCTCGACCAGGTCGACCAGGCTTCCAGCGGCGACGCTGGAAAGATCACCGTAAGCTCCAAATCCGCATGCACCAATACCACCACCACGTACTTGATTCTGACCTCCCTTGCTCTCCTCAATCCTCTTTGCGCGATCATGGCTACAGTTCACACGAAAAAAGACTGTCCAGGACGACGACGATAGCGACTTTGACTTGTAGCCTTGTCCCCCACAACCACCATCTTGGCTGTACGCTCTCACACACAAACATCACACGCACTCATCTTTGTCCCGTGCTAGATGCAGAGTGAAACGGGGTATCCATATTGCGCGCACAACACTACGCACGCTGTGCAGGCGGCGCCCCTGGTTGCGGTTGCGGCGGTGGTGCGCTCTGCGCCATCTTTTGCGTCTTTACGTGAAACGTGCACTGTGGCGCCTGGTTGGATTCGGCCACCACGGCACTTGGCACATCGAGCTGCGCCAGCGCGCCCTTGACAATGCCCACCGGATACGCGAGGTACACCCTTGCCTCCCTGGCAGTGACGTGTGTGCCATGCGGTGTCGAGACGTGGCGCAGCGGCTGGAAGTGGTTGTCGTGCAGCACGTACACGCCACGGTGGTTGGTGCGTAGGTTGTCCACCTGCTTGCCCCACACCGCCGTCCACACTTCCTTGCACACAAACTTGAGCACGTCGAGCGTATCGCTGAATCGCGCCCGGTCGCGTGCGAGATTCTCTGCCATGTGGTAGCCGACATTGTAGCCGATCGATTCCAGACGAGCCGTGAGCATCGACTCGATCTCGCCCAGCGTCTCCGCCGACTCGACGCCCGACACCTGCCGCACCACCTCCGTGTGCGCAGCTGCGGCCGAAGGTTGTGAGGATGCCACAGTGGTTGTGATGGGGGCGGTGGCGGACCGAGAGGGCGTGGGGAGGTTGATACCGGCGAGCTGGAGCTCTTCGCGCGCGAGCGCTTGCTTGCGCGCCACAAATCGCGAGCTGTGGATCAGCGTCGCCACCATCTCGGTCGCTAGTGTGTGCAGCGCCTGAGCATCAACCTGATGTACTGGAGGCGTAGCTAGAGCGAGCACGTCCGGCGTGATCAGCGACGCCGAGGAGCCGGTGTAGCTGCCATCGCCTGCTGATGCTGATGCCGGTGCGACGAGGTTCGGGAGCGCGTGCGACGGTCTCGTGCCGGGTGAAGCTGCAGCCGACCCGAGCGAGAGGCGCTCGATTGTGGGCACAGCACTCGCTGACGCCGACTTGGACATCTTTGCTGCTGCTACGGGGATTGGGTGGTCGTTGGTGGTCGTTGGAAGACGAAAGCTGCGTGCGAGCAGGCTCCAACACTCGGTCCGTGCAGTGGAAGCCACGGCGATGCGACTCTAACAATTTCCAACGCTCGCCTCCACTCTGGTCTGGCATCACGTGAGGCGCGTAGGCGGCAGAAAAAACGCGCGCTGTTTGGTGCCTTTTTCCCCAGCTTTGGCCTGGCTGTGTGGCCCTGTGCCTTGGCCACGCTCACCGCCGCCCAGCAGCTCCAAAAAATTCCTCCAACCACACAGCGGCGAGCGCTCTGTGTGGCGGTGGTCCAGCTCAAGCCGTGGATTTGGCCGGAGCTGCATGGAGAGTGTGTTGTATGTGTTGCTGCTGCTGCTGCTGCTGCTGCTGCTGCTGCTGATGCTGATGCTGCAAGCTGCGCTGCTGATCCCGCAAAGTGCGCTTGGATCTCGAAGAACAGTCAGGCCTCCTCAGCCTCCAGCTACACTCCTGTGTACACACCAGCTACTCACCATCCTACGAGCTCGATCCGCTTCTGCCTTCTCCGCCTGCATCTGCCCCTGCATCGGCCCTTGCCATTGTCGACGACCAACGCACGCTACCTTGGTACGCGCACGACTCGTCTCGCCAACGTTGCATGCTCGACTTCGGACGTCGTGGAGTGCAGCTGTTGTTGTCCCAGCCACCATACCCCGCATCTGGTGTCAGAGCTCGCCGCAGCGTAGCCATCGTCCATGAGTCTCGTTCACACCGTCACCACCAGCGCAGCACCCATCACAAGCAGCACCAAGTCCACAGCCATGCCGTCGCATCCGTCGGATCCCACTAGCGCCTCTTCCGCCGCCATGTCGTCGCAGTCGCTCTTGCTCGCGCCCCTCCAGTCGTCCACCTCGTCCAATGTGGCCATCACCCCGAGCAAGGCCCGCAAACAGGCCCAGGCACAACGCACCCGCCTCGTGGCAGTAAGTGCACCCGCGTCCGACCCGCCCCTAGGCATCGCCCCAAAGCTGACCTGACCATCGATGATGCTTCACTATCCCGACAGCTCTCCAAACACCTCATGACACGGCTGCAGTACGCCAACTTCAAGGTCGAACACGGCTGGGTAAGTTCGACACCGCCACTCCCAGATCCTCCCTTGCGCAGCGATATGCACAGAATTGCTGACCTGGCTCCTTCATCTGGCCCATCTTGACCACGATGTTCCTCCTTGCAGTCCAAACAATCGCTCTCCGAAGTCGAAAACCTCTACTACCGCCAGAACCAGTCGGCAGGCACCACCTCCAACGCAACAGCTCGGACGCAAAAGAGCAACTCCACCTCGCCCGCCAGCGGCACCAGCAAGGCACCTGCAACGCCCAGCGCCGCAACAGCGCACGGTCAGAAGGGCGTAGGCTCGAGGCTCTTCAAGGATGCCGCCATCAAGAAGATCGACGTCGAAGGCGGCGACGTCTTTGGCGGCTACGGCCTCGCCACGCCTCCGGCTTCCGCAGGCAGTGCGCCAGGCGCCACCTCGTACCTTTCGAGCAAGCGCGGACGCTCCACCTCCTCGACGCCCATCTCGCCCCCCAACACGAGTGCTCACTCCTCTGCCTCCAAAGGTGGCGACGCAGCATCGGCGCCAAAGCGCTCGCCAAACGGCAACTCCCACACTTCCGGCAGCGGCTCACGCGCATCGCACGTCGCCTCATCGGGCGCGACCAAGGTCTCGAATCCCCCGGCGGCTGCAGGCGGAGCAACGAGCTACGCCGACTTTTGGAGCCGCGTAGGAAGCTCAGCCGCTGCATCGTCGACTGCCGTCAATGCTGCATCTTCCAGAAGCGCCAGCCCGAGCAAGAAGCGCAGCGCTGACGACGTAGTGGCGGCGGACGGTGCAAATGGCCCCGACGCCAGTGCCGCACCCGTGTCTCCTGCAGGAAAAGAAGCTGGAAGCTCGAGCCCGAGCAAGCGCGTTCGCATGGACACCGATGCGGACCGCACCAGCTCGTGGTCGGCCACCAGCAGCCCTGCCAAGGCGGCGCTTGCGGAACGAGGACCTAGCTTCGCCAGCAGCGTGCGCAGACACTGACGACACGGCAGCGTACCAAGCTGACACCAATGCGTCCCACTTTGCCGTGCCAAAGCCACAAGCCCTTGCAGCTGCTAAGGGGTGTCATACTCGCAGTAGTGGTGCTCTCAATGGCGTCAAAACACCGTTGGAAATGGCCATGGTCCAAGTCGTCATCGTGGCCGGATTAGTTTTCGTATACCATCAATCGGTCCGCAGTTACCCTCCATGTAATCCCTCCGCCCATCTCGCATCTCCCTCCTGCATCTAACGTGGATTCACTTTTGCCTGTCGTGGGTGTTGATATGGTTTCGGCAAGGCCGAGGTACGGCTGTCTGCGGGCGAGCGAGCTCCTGCAGACGTGAGCGATGGCAGGAAGAGTCTAGGCTTTCCAACCCGAAGCGGGTGGACCTTCAGCGTGGTGAGAAGGCAAGGGAGCGGAGGAGTGCGGCACCTCCTGTAAGGTTAGGCTCACGGCTCTCGCATGGACGAGCTCAGCCTCGAGACTCGATCGGTAGACCCGATCATCGCATTGCTTCATCCGATCCAAGATGCCGAGTTGTCGAAGTGTCGCGGGGATGCACCGGTGTCCATGTGGCTCAGGCTCCTCGCGGGGTTACAAGCTTCGAAGCATGCTGCATGTCCCTATGCCTAAAATAGGCTCAGGCAGCCCCACCGGTGTTGCAGGGCCAAAGGTCGTGTTGACCCAGATGTGGGGATCTCACGGCATTCCGAGTGATGCCGACGTCGGCGCTGTTCCTGGCGGGAAGGTTGTCACGGATCTCGGTCGAGTTGCGACGCGCTGTCAACATTGCAGCGAGCAGCATGCGACGTGGCGCTGGATGAGCGGGCCACTTGGAATTTCGCGGCATCTTTATGTCACCGTTGACAGCGTCTGCGTCGCACTCGAGCGTGGCCACGCTGGCGAGGAACGAACGCTCCCCGGCACCAATCCGACCCCGGAGGACATTTGCAAATGGAAAGGTCTGGAGCAAGGCGCCAACCTTCAACGAAAGAGCCGACCCTCGGTCTTGTCCGATTTCCCACGCCTTGGCTCCCCATCTTCAGCGTATCCGTTCATCCGCCTTCATGACAACTTGCAGGGTCCAAGCCTGCTACTGTAGTGACGGTCCGAAGTCCGAGCTGGAAATGCGAGAAGGACACCCCGTCGGGATCGGACGTTGTGGCCAGACAGGCATCCGAGCAAGCATGGAGAGGGCGTTCTGGACGCAAGCGAGCAAAATGCAGCCTAAGGACGTGGGCGTGCTGCAGACTGCAGGCTGCAGCGCGTGCTGCATCGTGGCGAAAGGCTTGCGGACGACGCCCACGTCGTCAGCCCATAAGTGAGACACTGATTTCAACCCTTTCCAGGGTACAGCGAGTAAGCCGGCGCGCGACACTGAGACCAAACAAATCTGCCCGCAAATGTCCTTTTCCTCCTCCGACGTTCGACTTCGTTGAGCTTCAGATCAAATCGCCTCATCGAGGTCCGTCTCGTTGATGAAAGGACCTTTTTGGAACGGAAGCTTGTCTTCCCATCGTCGGAAGCTGGCCGAGAGGCGTCGTGCAGCTGTTTCAAAGCCGATGCAAGGGGGCAAGAAGCTTCTGAGCTCGCATAGCGTAGCACCGAAAAGTGGCGGCGCGGCACGGCGTCCGAGTCGAGGCTAAGCTTGAGAGACGGCAGCGCTGCACCCTGAAATTGTGCTTTTTTATTTCCCGGCTCCAATGCGGATCGTGGGTCGCGTTGTTGTTCAAAAGGAGTGTTTGCCAATTTGGATCAATTCCAATTTCGGGAAGCCAGGATCTCGCACTAGATGCCGACTGGCCAACTGTCTTCAGCCCATCGGTGGTCTGCCAAAATAGGCAGGTCGTGAGCAGGGTTGGGAGCCGGTGGAAAGAATGCCAACTCGCCTTCCATCGCAGTGATTTACAGTTGAATGGCAAACGGCAAGAGGCGCGGCGCGAACGGATGTCTGGACACTCCGCTGGACGACGGCGTGCATGCAGTGCGTGTGTGATGCATGCATGAGGTGAGGGCGAGGCGAGAAGGCGAGAAGATGGTGAGGATGGGCTGGTCTCGACCTGCGTGGCCACACGGACTGCATCTCGCGGTGCATTTCACGGACCGCTCAGTGGCCAGCAGCTGCAGAGCCCGGCCGTTCGAATTTCATCTCCGTCTGGGCGGCGCCGGCGAACAAGCGGCGAAATACGCTGATGCGCCTGCTGCGCGATTCTGGTCCCGGGCCTTCCGACATGCAATCAAATGAGCTTCGAGGCTGGATCGCGCTGCTTCCGAAATGAGATCAGAACGGAAAGCACTGTCACTTCCTCTGCAATGGGCTGCAATGATAGAGGCAGGCGAGTGTGGAAGATAGAAGGCGCTGCGTGCATGTGTGGCTGCGAAGGGCTGCGCTAATCAAGAAAACCCTGTTTGCACGTTGGCTCCGCGCGGACTCCGCGAGCCAGTTGCACCTGAACTTCGGTCGCCTCTTGCCCTTTGTGTCGGGTCTGCGGAGCGGATTCGACTCGTCCGCGCTCGCAGCAGGGGCTGCACGACAACATGTGCACACTGGCGAGGCGGAGACAGGCGAGGGCAAAGTCATGCAAGAATTGGGCCAAGCGAGGTGCTCTGCGAAATCTCGGCTTGGCTCGTCGCGCAGCATCGCAACACTGAAACTCGGCGCCCACCGAGGCGAATCCCGGCGACCGTGCTGCCATTCTGCCCTGCTGCCCATTCTGCGCGGCTGCCCGCCCGCCTCTGCGCGCTTCGCCTTCGCCTTAATCAGCTGCCTTGGCGTAGAGCAGCTTGTCAAACCCCAACCGACACATGCACGGCCAACAGCTGCTCATTGCTCGGCTGCTCCGCGCTCTCATTTTCGCCTGAACTCTGCTGCCCGCGTGTGTGTGCTGTGTTTGCGGGAGCAGAGAGTGGTCGTGCGCGTTGAGAAGGAGAACGAGAAAGCTGTCGGGTGCGGTGCGGAGGATCATGTCCTCGTCAGGGTCGGCAGGTGGCCAGCCCGCTTCTCGAGCTTCAAAGTGGACCGGTGCCGGACGAGGCCTCACTCCTCGCTGCGAACGATTGCGATCCCACCTCCTGGTTCCACTCATCGCCGCCCGCTCGCCTTCCGTCCACCTCATCACCATCCATCAACACCATCCGTCCGTCCCGACGCATCGATTCCTCGACGTAGAGCAATGAGGCTGGTCCCTTGCGCAAGACCCTGATCCCTGCACGTCTGCCACGGTAGAGGGCGTGGTCGTCGCAATCGCCTCCGCTCCGCACCGAATCTGTGCCATGTCGGCGACTCTCCATAGCCATCCTTACCGGCTCAGCCCTTCCGTCTCGTTGGCGGTCGATGGTGCTGATACGAGTCTTCAGCACAGTCAGAGCAACGCTTCCAACCTTTTCCAGCACGGCCTTTTGGCCCGATCCCCCCAATCGTCCAACGCTGCACGTCTTTCCCCTTTGCCGCAGGCAACCTCGCCAACATCGCCCGTTGCTTCATCTTCTAGGACCACAATGGCCACGGCTTCCAGTTCTCCGCAACCTAAACCGGCTGCCGCCCTCGGATCCGAGCTCTTCGATGCCATTGTTCAGGCAGCCGACCCCCGCCATCCAGACCACGCCGCTTGGCAGGAACGGTACGGCTCGCTCTCCAACCGCTCGTCACGCGCCTCCTTCTCCTCCTCTTCCAAGCGCGACAAAGCTGGCCCGAATCTCGCCGCCACATCAAACTCTCGCAAGTCTCTGGACCATCCCGATGGGGCGACGAGGAGGAGGGGCGCCTCTCGCAAGGCAGGCGCACCCTTCGACCTTTCACGTAGCAACCACGCCGACTCGGCTGCGGGCTCGGATGCCGATGATCCACTCCTACCCGCTTTCCTCTCCGGTGATGACCGCTCCACTCCCGTTCGCGCCTCCTTCGAAGGCTCGATGCACTCCAATCGCTCTGCTTCCGTCGCAAGCTCCAGCCACCGACGCCGCAATCGCAGACTGCGCGACGCTTCTCGACCCAAGCCGCTCCTCCCTCCCATCCCGCCACCGCGTGTGACGAGCTCCACCAACTGGCAGTCCACCTACGGCTCTCCCTCGCTTCCCACGCTCGCCTCCTCTTCCCGCATCGACAACCACCCGTCATCTTCTGGCACCGTCAGCGACAACCAGGACCACTTTGCCTTTCCAGCACCTGCAGAGCGTCTTCTTGCTTCTCCTGATCTGCCGGCCTCAGTCCGCATCGCCCATCCGTACGCATCGGCCATGGCGGCTGAGCCCGCGCTCGAAAAGGTTTCGGCTCTGCCAACCATGCCATTCGCTCCATTCGCCAACGGCATAAACCCTATCGGTCGCCCGCGCCAGCATCCTGCTTCCTCCGAACTATCCATATCCGCCAACCAGAGTCCCGCCCTCTCGCTGCCCGCAGCGGATCAGCGAGAGCCCGTTCGCCCGTCTCATACTGGCCACCAAAGGCGTCAGGAGTCGACGTCAACTTCGGGTCATTCCAGCCAAGTTGGGGCCATGCCAGCATTCGCCTCTCACACTTCGCCGAACGGGGCCCTGACCCAGCAATCGAGCTTCCTGCATCTTCCCCGCTCCAAGTCCGCCAGCAAGCAAGTCGCTTCGCCCAGGATCGGGCACACAACGCTCCCAGACCGACCATCACGCCACGCAAATAGGCCGGACGGCATTGCACCTCCCAGAAAGTCTCTCAGCAAGATCCGCCAGATCCTCGGCAGCGACACGCCTGCCCTTGACGGTCCTCCTCTCCCCGAAAAGTCGCAGGCCCAACTGCAGCGGGCTGCCAACTCTGCCAACGAGATACAAGACGCCGCGCCCTCTCTCCCTCCAAAGGGCGGCAGCTGGGCTGCTGCTCCACCACAAGAAGCGGCCACGCGGACGCCTCAGCCCGCTCAAGCGGGCCAGGATGCTGAAGTGTCAAGAGAAGGCGTGGACAGCTCCAGCAAATTCGGTCTCGCTGCCTTTCCTCTCCGTCGTGACGACGAGTTCCGAGCGAACGACAACGAGTTCGAAATGTCCGATGACTCCGATGTCGAGCCAGAGCCTGAGGTTTCTCGGGTCGGTTTACCGCAGCTCTCGACCTCGTCTTTCCATCATCAGCATGCGACGGCTCCTCGCAAGCCACAGAGAAATCCCGGTGCTGTCCGTCGCAGTCTCGATTCCATCATTTCACCCTTCCGCGCCGGACTCTTCAACGTGGGCGGTGGCTCCTCGAGCACTGGGAGGAAGAGTAACGCATCCAACACCAAGGCTGGCCTCGCCGTCCCGGAACCCGAACCGATCGCCGAAGGACGTCGAAGCTTTTCGGATTCGCGCTTCGTGAGGCCCTTCCTGCCCCGCAATCGCAACGCAACGCTGAATGGGAACAGGCGCCCACTGAGCAAGGTCCTCGACCACCCGGATGATGAGATCGAGGATGTAATGCAGGTGCTGGCCAGGCGTCAGGGCGATGAGCACGACGCATCCCTTGGCATGTCGCCAGCTGCAGACGCTCAAGCTGCCTCAACCGATGCACATGCGAAGTCAGATCTTCAGTCCGTCGAATTCTCATCTCGACGCAACCGCGCCATCAACTTCGACCTGCCAAACTCGTCTAGTGGGGAAGCGCAGAAATAGTTCGGTCGCAACGGTGGCTCCCAGGAAAGTGCAGCATCTTTGGGCAGTCCCCCAGTGTCTACATCCGGACGGACAGGTGCTCGAAGGAAGCGGGTCCCGACTGGCCCGTCTGCTGGAGGCCATGGCAATGCAAATGGAGCGGAGGCCGGACAAAGGTCCTGGGAAGCCACGGCAGCTCCAGGGTGGGCAGATGCTTCGATGCCGAGCATGTCCAGCTCGCGAAGCATGGCAAGCACTTTCAGTCGATCTACAAACAACTTGCACGATGGTGGCGACTCGCCTTTTGAAGCGTTCGCTCGCAACGCCACGCTCTCCATCCAGCAGCAGTCCCCGCGAGGCAGATTCGGCGGCTTCTTTTCCAAGGTCAAGGGCTCGGTAACGCCAAAGGGAACACCTAATCTACCTTCGAACGAGTTCTCCGCTTCATCTGGACCGTCGACGATCAATCATCAGCAGAACGATTCGCCACAGGCATCTCCCGTGGCCATGATCGGAACTTCCAAGAGAGCCGAGCGACCGTTTCGCGCTAGAGTCAAGTCTCTGACCTCGCCTCGGGGTCTGTCATCTTCGCGCAACAACGACAATGCTGCCATCGTTCCTGCAGTTCCGGCGATCCCGAGCCAATTCGTCGACCTCCCCACGGAGGACGACAGATACGTACGCGCGGCGTCGGTTGGCCCGACGCTCACCAACAGCAGCACTGCCAGCAGTCAGGCTATGCAAATGCCTGCTTCCATGTCGGCCACATTTGCATCCCCTGGGTGGGAGCACACGCAGTCCGTATGGGAGGAATCGCCGCAGATCCCAACCTCATCTACATTCCCGTCGACCGACAAGTCGTCCCGCTCGCTCGGCAGATTGCTGCGCAGGAAGAAGACACAGGAGAATCTGGACGCGGTCATCGAGAGCTTCGTGCCCCTGCCACCTAAAATGTCGCATGCCGACGCGGCAGACGAGGCAGCGCCCAGGTCATCCATGTCGTCTGTCCGAGGATTTGACGTCGTCGACCCGGCCGAACCGGCTTCGAGCCTGGGACAGACGCGCACCACTATCCGCAAGACGCTGAGCCCGGCACTGCTGAGCGATTCGCCTCATCAAGGAATCGACGAAGCGCTCGAAGACGAAGTGGCCAGCTCGCTCGGCCATGGCGTTGCTGGAGCCAGACTTGACGTCGATGCAGACGTTCGGAAGGGCAGCGAAGCAGCAGCTGCGCGGGAGACATCGGAAGCCGACGATGTTGCTGAAGAGCTCAGCGAGTTGCCCGGTGATTCGCAGCGCTTTCGATCGCCTCTGGGACGCTTCATCCGCAGCAACGCACCGGGCGATCGTCTATCGCGCGTTGAAGAACTCAGCGAGCGTCTTTCGCATATCGCAGACCCCACCGATACAGGCGCCCTGCGAGGTCCTGTGTCATTGCCGACATCGCCGAATCCGCGCTCCTTCGGCGAGCATCGATCAGTGCGCAGAAGCGTCAGTGGCAATGTGCGAGGCCAGGCGGTACCCCCGCCGACGCTCGAGCTCGCTGGCGTCCGGGAGAGTCGACTCAGAAATGCCAGTCTGGACATTGTCCGCAACGGGACCGCTTACGAGGCCGCTTCCTCGCGGCCCGCCGCGCTTGAATCGCCAGCCTCGCTCGGCTCAACGGTTGCGAGTTCTCCGGCCGCAGGCAGGTCGGCGATGACGCCCAAGAGCCCGGGGTCAATGGCCATGTTTGGCGAGCAGTTGACGCCTTCGTGGCGGTCGACGAGCTTCAGCACGGCGCGCACCGGACGAACATCGTTCTCCCAGGACCGGGACAGAGCACCTGTGGCGAGTCCGATCAGCCCTCCGATGCCTTCGAGTCGAGGCGCCGGTGTGAGCCAGGCCATCAAGCGGCTCGGCATTAAGGGGAAGAGCAAGAAGACCGGCAAAGGCATCGGTCCGTCCGACGTGATTGTGCTGGACTACGACGAGGATGAAACGGCCGAGGATGCGCTGCGAGAAGCGGCGGCACGACCATCCATGTCGCTTGAGCCGCGCCCGTCCTTCGGCGGAGGGGCACGGCCGTCATTCAGCAACTTGGCTCGACCGTCTTTCGGAGGCGGCGCACGGCCGAGCATCGAAGTCACGGGCCGCAACAGCCTGGTCGCAGCCGAGATGGTGACTAAGCTCCTGGAGGTCGAAGCGAGCGGGCTGATCCCGAGCCCGGTGACCCCCTCGTTCGGCAGCAACGGACTTGGCCAGCACAGCCAGAGCGACTTTGCCAAGAGCACAACGTCGCTGGGCCGTAAAGGGGCCGAAAGCGACGCCGGTCTTGGAGCAGCAGAAGTTGCTGGTCTCGGCATCGGAAGTGTACAGTGGTGCGAGGGGATGCCGCTGCACAAGGCCGAGAGTGGCGAAGCTATGGCGAGCGCGTCGGCTTCAGACGGCACCTACACTTCGCAAGGTGTACAGACTCCCGAGAACGCATCGCTCTCCCACAGCGCGTCGATGCAAATGCTTCCCAAGTCGGACATGGCATGGGCTGGCACTGATGGAGATACGGACGCAACGCCCTCGACGCCCGGCTTGCCCCCGCCCAAGTCTTCCGAACTGGTGGCTCTCGAGGCTCTGCTGGGACGCTTCCCGCAGCAGCAGAAGGAATTGCTGCAGGACATTTCCGCGCGCGTCGCCAAGACGCCCAAGATGGACAAGCGGGGAGGATGGGATAGCCGCGAAGACGTCGCAAGCTCCTGATCAGGCGCGTTAGCAGCCAGTCGATGCCTGAGCTGGTCTCTTGGGTCCCTTGACCACCCCACACATACACATTCATTATCTTTGCACTTGCATATCTGTCATTCACATGCTCAAGCCTTTCCTGCTCATCATCGTGAGCCTTGCGAGGAGAATCGTGACGCAATTGGAGCGTGAGGGTGGTGTCGGTGGTGGCCACGTGAGCTGAGCCCAGGTGTTGAGGCGGTGTAAAGGGTCAAGGGTCCGCCCAGCGATTTTGGCGGGAGGTGGAAACGCGTCTAGACTCTTCCAGAACCGAAGCTGGAGAGGATGAGCGGGCTCGGTCGAGAATTTGCGCGGCGTGTTGGAATTACATTCTGAACCCTTGCCGTCGCTCTCTTGTCTTTGTACCTCTTCTCACCTCGACGATCTTGAGCACGAGCACTGCATCGAGATGACAGAAGCCACGACTGTCTCTACCGAGACCAATGCGCCTGCTTTGCTGCCTGGCGGATTCCACGCGTTCAACCCTCAAGCGGACTTCTCGGACAACAAGGAGACGAACAATGCGCGACCTCTTACGGATGCGGTGATTACGATCCGCATCATCAAGTCGTTCGAGTTTCGTTCGATGAAGGCATATGTCGCCAAGTCGGTCGATCTGACCACGACCACCATTTCGCAGCTCGAAGACATGTGTCGCAAGGAGGTCACGAGCAACTCGGCCTTTAGGGCGTTTAGGAGCTTTGCGGATAAGCTCGATACGCTCAAGCTGTACACGCGCGCACACGGCTCCAAGACAACGAACCTCATCATCAACCTCGACCACCCCGAATGGGTGCTGGAAGACGCCAACATTGCCGGACTGGTGAAGAACGCCGAAGAGGGAAAGACGAAGACCAACACGACCCTCGCCGAAATCGGCGTGGAGAACGAAACCGAACTCAGCTTCTTCAACCGCGAGGCGTACGACAAGTTCCTCGCCGATCCAAGCACCAAGTGGGACGCCACTGGTTAAGCAATACCTCTGCAGGCTCAAGCAAGTCGGAAGCAATCTCACCTCCAGGCGAACAGCGGACAAAACCACAAAGCCAACACACCGCAGTATACCCAACACAACACTCCCTCATCATCTCACAATGAATCTCGTAATGGCCAGCACGTACCACAGACTCTTTCACCCTGAGCTCGTTTGGCATGATGGAATCGGGATCGGTATGCATTGAGAACACAATTACGCTGCGACAGTGAACAGTGAGTGCAAAGGAAAGTGGGGTTGGGACAGCTCAGTCCTCGATGGCCATGTCTTCGAGGTCGTCGAGCAGCTCGTCCATGCCGACGCGCGGTGCATCGTCGTCTCCCCACTCGCTCTCTCCGTCGGTCGTCATGCCGTCGTCGCCGTCCTCCTCCATGCCGCCATTTGCGAGAGCCGCCTCGCGCTCGGCCTTGATCTGTGCGGCCCTCTCCTTGCGCAACCGCCTCTCCTCCTCCTTCTTGGAGTCCCTGTAGAGATTGACGGTCTGGCGCATTTCGTCGTCCTCTTCGAGCTCGCGCAGGAACAGCTCGTAGTCCCTCTCAACCCTCTGCGAGTCGAGACCACCGCGCCTGCCGACGGCACCGCGGCCGACTGCGCCCTCGGTGGCGGGATCTTCGGCCTCCTTGGCCATTGACTTGAGCTTCCACATGCGGTTCTTGGAGCGCTTCTTGCGTTCGGGATACGACTTCTTCACCAGCACCACGTCCGGCAGACGGTCGGCAGGCAGCGTGTCCCACTCGGCCGAGTTGAAGTTGGCTACGCGCAGGTGGTAGCCCATGACGGTGTCGCCGGGTTGCAGGATGGCACCCAGGTGCGTGCGCGTGTGGTAGACCGCATCCGCCTCGCCGAACGAAGCTGCGTTGAGCGGCGACACTTGCGCATCGGCCTCTTCGAGTCGGCGGTTCTGCACACCGTGCGAGTTGGTAGCATAGCGACCCGTGGGCTCAATGTCAAGCACCAAGAACTCGATCATCTCTGGAATCGTTGCCAGCGCGGGCAAGGGATCGCGCCAGTACTTCTCTGCTGGCACCTCGGCGATCTGGAGGCTGATGGGATCGATGAAGCGCAGCGAGTTGGTCACCTTGTTGCAGAGCACCAGCTGGCCGATGTTGCCGAGCTGCTTGGCCATCCTGGGCGGCATGCAGACGAGGTCGTCCTTGCAGATAGGGGCGATCTCGACCGAGTAGGTGAACTTGTAATTTGTCGTCGAGGTGTGCACGTCCATGGAGATGACTTGTTCGGACTTGGTGGTCTTGATGGGGACGACGCTGTTGAGGAACTCGACCATCTTGATGGCGTGTGCGCGCTGGGTGTAGAAGAAGTCGAGGCCGTCCTTCTTCTCGTTGATGCTGACGGTGTTCTGGTGGGCGTTGTGCTTGAGGATGAGCTGCTCGAGGTAGAGGAAGGTACGCTTGTGCTGCACCTTCTGGCGCACCTGGACCATGGCGCGCCACGTGTTCTTGGCCGCGAGTCGTGTGCAGTCGGGGCACTGACCATACTGCACAACGAACTCGACCTCGAAGATCTGCTGCAGGATGGTGGAGGTGAAGACCTCCTTCTGCACCGTGAGCTTGACTCGCAGACGCTTGCTGTGTGGTTCGGTCCAAATGAAGCCTGCGTCGATGAGGCGCACCTTGTTGAGGCCCTTGAGCTTCTTGAGGCAGATGGCGAGCAATTCTCTGGACTCAAGACGAGCAGGCACCCACGAGTTGGGCGGGTTGAGGTAGCGCTCGCAGTTGCGGCAGAAGTTGACCGTAGCCTGCTTGGGAACCGACTCGGTGATGTCGACCGAGTTTCGCAGGCACGACAGGCAGAGGTTGGCATTGTTGGGCGTGATGGGAGTTCCGCAGTCGGCGCAAAGCACCATGTGCTGCGCTGCTGGTGGGTGATACTCCATTCTGAAAGAGTTATCCAGCAGGTCGGAAGGTAGGTAGTGGATGATGGTGGGGAGCTCAGAAGAACTGGTGTCGGTGGAAGCACCCTGAATGCCAGAGGCGGAACTGAGCTTTCGTGGCAAAATCTGAAGGCCCAGCAAAGCCACCTGCAGGCACCCTTGAATCAAGAAGGCCTGCCCTTCTCGCCGAGAAAAATTCGAGTGGAGCTGCGCTTGCTTGATTTTTTGAAGAGTGGAGAATTTTTTGGCGGCTGAGCTGCCTGTCGTACGCAACCAAGAAATTTCCTCTGCCTGTGCTGCTGCGAAGCATTGCCGGACTTTAGAGCGCAGGTGGGGGTCGGAACCGAATTTCGCGCTTTAGTTTGTTAGACCTCGTCTGCGGGTCGAATCTGGAGAAATTCACGATTCAAGTCCGAGAGCCGAGCCAGTCGTGCTAGAACGTCTTGCCTTGACGTAACGACCAGCAAAGTGTCAGGTGGAGGGTCGAGCTAAAAGTAGCTTGCTCGTTGAGACCCTCTCTCGGTGCTTGAACACCATCGACGCCAGCAACCTGAGATTTGCCCAAAGCCACATCGAGGTGAACAGCCAAACTTTGAGCATCCTCAAGAACACCTTACATCGAAAATGTAAGCCTAAAGCTGCGACGAATCAATCGGGCGTCGGCCAAGTGCCATCGACCTCGTGCTCTCGCAGAGTTCATCAGCTGACCTCACGACTTGCTCGATCCTTGCTTGTTTTCGCACTCGATAGGTCGGGAGCATCATCGAATCTCACAGAGCGCATGGACTCGCCAGCGCACGAGCAGACAAGGCAGTTCGTTCAGCAGAGCGGTGCGGCCATCTTCATGCTGGACGGGTGAGTATCGGATGGACCGTCGGACGTTCCGACAGCAGCCAGGCGACATTTCCCGCTGCGGAGACCCCGAACTGTTTTCCCAATGCTCATCTTGCTGCTTTACTTAATTACGAATCGCTACAGCGAACGAGGCTCGGGCAGGTCGCAATTGTGCGCCAAGCAAGCGGACGGACGTTTGGACTGCAGGGAGATCGCCCTGGAAGGTAAGCTTTAGCGTCACACGCTTCGATGATACAAGCTCTGTACCGGACTGTGCATGCTCATTCCCTTTCTCCCACGCTCGTTCCCACGGCGTTGCAGCCAAGTCGCTCTTCTCGACAATGCAGAGCCTCAACTTCTTCTGCACTTTGCCCCAGGACCCGTCCAAGACCCACATCAACTGCCAGCGCATCCCTTCGTCGTAGCTCCGACCGGCATCAGACCCTTCCAGTCAGGGATTCCCCATCGCGACAGTAAAGAATCGCAATCGAATGCTTTAATCAACGAAAGTTGTCCTCGGTCCCCTGTCCACCGCCAGATGTCACAAAGGCATTCCCGCGCACAGCTGCGATTGTGCTTGGCTCAGCATCCTGTCTTTGAAATAAGCCCAGGCGCAAGTGGAAAGGATGGCTTCGCCCTGAAAAGTAACGCCAAGAGAGCATTGCTGCGTTCAGCCGACGTTGCCTCAACTCCAAAGCAAATGGCCGTTGGGAACCGGCTGCATTGGAAATGGCCGAATAAGAAAATTGGGTCGAAAAAGAAAAGCGGCTGGGAAGTCGGGAAGATCTGCCAGTTTCATCGGCTCAGCCGTGCGGATGAGCGGTTTGCTGCGCTTTTGTGCGGCGCGTTGGCAATTTTGCGCGTGCGTGTGTGGGACGACAGGACGAGAGCAGCGATAGGCGCTGCCGATACAAGCAAGCTGAGGATGCTCATTCCTCGAGCGTGGTGGAGCAGTCCGCCGCGCGTGCTGCGCTGGGCGGCTCGCTTCCGAAATGCTCCCTCTTTCTCGCCCTCTCACCCGTCCCGCCTTCGGATGGATGCATTTCTGCGTCGACGCGCTGCCAAGCCCAACCTTCTTGACAGCTTCATCTCACGCCGCCGCATCCCTTCCAGCGACTTCTTTGTCGCAGTGGATCAACAGGCTCCAGCCCAGCCCACCTGACCCCAACTGCACGCAAGTCTGCATTCGGCTGCATTCCGTCAACTCGTCGCGTTGACACGTGCGCGTTCAGCGCACACCACTCAAACACGCTCTTTTCTTCTTCACCACGTTCCTTTGACCATCATCGTTACCTCGACCATCTCCATCTCTTCGACGATACCCTCTCTTGAACTCGCCAGACCAGACATTCACCTTGCTGAACGGCTCCGCAGCCTATCACTCGATCCAGCACAGCAACCGATTCGTTCGCCAAGCCAATCTCTGTGTTTCCTATCGCGCACTGCTCTTGTACTGGCGTTTCTGCGCCCGTCGACTCGTCCCGACGCCAACTCTCTATCGCTCGAATGCCTTTGATCGTCCCGGATGTTATCGAAATCGGAAGCAGCGGCAGCAGCAATAGAGCATCCTCTCCCATCCCCGAACTGACCGTCACCAAGATGAACGGCAGATCCATACAACCACACGAGGCCGAGGACGAGGAGATGCCTCGGTCCTCCGCCGCCTCTCGCGTCTCGCTCGCAAATTTATTAGGCCCAAGCGGTCCAGGCTCCTCGCCCTACTCCAACACGCCACGCACATCGCCTCGCAAGCGGCCTAGCACCGACTCGCCCGGCACCGGTCTACAGCCTCCAACCGACATCGCCAACGGCGGCAGCAGCAGCTCAAGCACCACTCACAGCGAGGGCCGCGAAAGGCGACGTTCAGACGCAGCTTCACAACGAAGTCCTGCTCGAGCGGAAGCCGTTCCGGACGCCGCCCCCGCTGGCGACGGGAGCACAAGTCACGACGTACCCACGGTCGACGTCACCGAACCGGATGGCAAAGCGCCTGGCGACCGCGACGAGGACGAGGACGACGAAGATGAAGATGACGAAGATGATGACGATGACGATGACAAGGCCACCACCGATGCGGGCAGTGCGTCCGAAGCTGAGGGCGAAGACAAGGCCGAAGGTTCGTCAGCCAAAGAGGGCGCTGGCTCCGGCGAGAAATCGATCGTGCCCAAGAAGCGCTCTCGACGCCGCAGTCCATCTCCGCCAGAGGCTGCCACAGCACCGCCTCCGCCCAAAAGGCCCACCGTTCGCCTTTCGATCCTCGAGGCGAGGCAGAGCGGCTATCTCATCAACGTGCCCGAGCTCGTTCTTGCCAAACTCAAAGGCCAGGACCACCCCTGGGCCAAATGGTATGAGGAGTCGTTGGTGGAAGCAGCTGAACCCGAGCCTGCGCCACCACAGGCTGGGCCGGGGGCGCCTCCGGATCTCGAAGGCTTTGGTAGCCTCGCAAGGCTGCTAGCAAAGTACCCTGCCGGCGAAGGATCGGCAGCATCAGCAGGTGCGTCTGGCGCGAGCAAGAAGCGCCGCAAAGTCAACGACGACAAGTACGACATTGGGCAGTACGACGTGCGCGATCCGTTCGTCGACGACTCGGAGCTCAACATCGACGAGCCCACGCACTTTGCCAAGCCCAAGGCCGACGGCTTCTACGTCACCCAGGGCACCGTCGAGCTTGCCAAGGCCAAGGCCATGGGCAAGGGGCAGCCTCTGCTGGGCAAGGACAGACCCAAACCGCTCAGCATCCGCGACTCCAAGTTCGGCTTCGCCGGCTCTCTCAACAAGCTTGTGGCCAAAAAGGCGCAGCAGCAAGCCGAGCTGCCCCCGATGCCTGCCTCGTCCTCGATGCAGCTTGGCTCCCTGCTCAACAACGGCGATCCCGGTAGCCCTGCCATGGGCGCAGGCTCGGCTCTCACCAACGTGCAGAGGCAGGAAGGCACACGCGACTCGCCCATCAAGGTCGACGACAACGATTCGGGATCGTCCAAGAATGCCGCCAAGAAGAACCGCTACCCGACCGAGCCCGTCGACCCGCGTCTTCAGGCGTCGTTTGACGATCTCAAGAGCAAGGTCGATGCAGAGAGCTTTGCCGTCAAGACCAAGTTCCCTGCGACGCTCAAACCGCCGCTCATCGAGACGGCCAAACTGGCGGTCATGCTGGGCGAGTACGACGACAACTTTTTCAATCATCTGCCCACCATCTTCCCGTACAACCGCTTCACGATGATGAAGCTCGTCAAGCGCGAGTTCTTCCCGCACCACATCAAGTACTTTGAGGATCTCAAGCAGGAGCACATGGACAAGCTCGGCCGCATGATCCAAGAGAGCTTCCCGCACCAGCTGGCCGAGTTCGAGGCGGCGCACAAGGCGTGGGTCGAGCGCGGCGAGGCGCCCAAGGAGGGCGAAGAAGCCGCGCCCAAACCTGCTACGGCCGCCGAAGGAGATCAGTCGATGGACGTGGACGGCAAAGAGGACGACGAGTCGGTGGAGCCGACCAAGCGCTGGAAGTGGAGCGAGGAGATGCGCGAAGAGGTGTTTGTGCTCATCACCATCGAAAACGCCATGAGCGAGATCCGCAACGAAAAGTACAAGCTCGAGAACTCGGCCGAGCAGTACAGCGAGATCAACGCCAGGAAGGCGTGCTACAAGCAGATGGCCGAGCTTTTCCCCGAGGACGGATGGACGACCTCGACCAACATCTCTCGCGAGTATGCGCAGATCAAGAAGAAGAAGGATCGGCAGGAGGCGAGGGGCGAGGAACTCTTCGGCGACTCCCGGGCCAGCAGCGCCGTTCCGGCCTGAGCCGGTATGGCTGGAAGGAGTCAGCCGGACCGCCACGTTTGGAAGACAAGCTTTGGCTTGACGATGCGATGCGGCCATGCGAGGGTCAAAGTCCGACCACGTTCGAGAAGCAGCCCAAGGCAGGACTGCCGAGACAGGCAGATGCGAGCAAGGCGATCCCCGAGTGATGCTCATCCCAGCAGACTGGGTCGGGCGGATCTGGGTCATACTTGGATGCTCGACCAGGATGGCAGATGGATATGGGGTGCTTCGACGGGATTTGGTCAACAGGGTTCTCAGCAGGCAGAGCCCGCCGCCGCAGCATGGCATCAGAAGCGGATCAGTGGGCTCGGCAGGCTCGATTGGTGCGGTGCTTTCGATCAGGACCTCGATCTACCCAGAACTATGACGAAGCAAGCGCTTCAGCCGCTCGCCATGTGCCCCCCTTGTGAACACATTGGCCAGGCTCCAACGCAGCAGCACGGATCACCCGAGGACAGAGCGCCAAGTGTCCATGTGCTGATCCTGCTAGGCTCTGGCTCCGAGTGCAGCTTCGGCGTCTTGCACGCAGCCGCAGGTCGTCCGACGCAACTTTTCCAACAAGGCTTTGCAATCGAGAAGGCACTGCTTTGCAGCACATTAGGGCCTGAACAGCTGCAGCCCTTTGCACTCGAAATGCCACTTACTCAGCCCTAGGCAGTCACAAAATTGAGTCGCAGAGCCAAGAGCGAGTGGCAAGGTGCACGCACCAGGCCAAACATCAGGGCAGGAGGGGGGTTCTCGGGCTTGACAGGCGCCGGATCAAGGGACAAGCACACCCAGGAATCTCAAGCCGGGGGCTAATGAGGGGCCTGATGAGCAGTGCTTATGGTTGTACGACTGTCTCCGTCTGTGAGCGGCTTGTAGAGCGATAGCAGATGAGCATGGGCCCGAGGGAAGCTGCAAGCGAGTTCAGAGTTGACAGCCTGTGCTGTGTGGGTCTTCTGAGCTCGTAGGCCCTTGTTCGGACGCTGCTCGATTGCGCTTCAGCCAGAGAACGCTTTTTGCGGCTCTTGGACCAAGCCTCATCTCAACTGAGGATCGTTGATAGTAAGAGGTCCATGTCTGTCTATGCCTTGCTGTGTCCTCGCTGTGTGAGGAGAGAGGGGTCCGATTTTCTCGTGCGCAACCTGAAGTGTCATATTGGCAGGGAGGCGCGCGCGCGTCCGTGCACGCTTGGATGGCTCTGCAGGGTCTGCAGAATTTGAGCCGGCTGGGCGTGTGGAGGTTGCGCAGCTTTTTTTGGGTGCGATGTTGGGCCGATGCGCCTCGGAGTATAGGTGCCGTGCTGAATGCGAGGCTCGACTTGGTGGGCTGCGCATGAGCTTGGCCTGGCGATGCTGAATCTAGCACACGCGCAGCCGAAATGCATCCACTCGCAAAGAGCAACAGGCCCCTTGGCGAAAGGACGACGGAAAGGGTCTCCCGCTTGTGCAAAAGCATGCTTGGCTCGAGACCAGAAAGCGGGACGGCTGAATCTCCCATCAGGCAGACCCAGAGCCAGCTCAGAGTGCAATGTTGCAAGGCGGAGTCGCACGAGCTGGATCGAGATGCGATGCGGCCGCCTAAAGGCGTGCGAGTCGCCTGTGTGGCGCGAACTGGTCTAGTCTAGTCTAGCCTAATCAGGATGGCCCGTGTGTCTTGGCCCAGACTCGGCCGCTCCGCTGCGGTACCAAACATGCCCCTGCGCCGTGCATGCATTCCCTACTCTCCCCCGCCCTTCCGCCGCTTACCTTACCCCAACGTATTTGAAATCTCAAGACCTCAGCATGCAGCTTCTTTTCATTCTGCTGTGAGGCGCAGGCCTGGACTGAGGCTTCGACAGGCCGAGCGACAACGGAGAGGTATGCTTGCTGGAGAGGGAAGAGCTTATCGAGCGGTGGGATGCAGGTGCCGGCGCAGTGGCCAATGCAGCGTGATGCATGGACGAGGGTGGGGCAGGTCACAAGACGTGCTCTCTGGCCGGCGTTGCAAGCGAGAGACGTCTGGGTCGCAGCCGAAAAATCGGTGTTGAAAAAAATGCGTCTACGGCTAGCGAGCGAGCGAGCGAGCGAGCGATTACGGTGGATGAGGCTGTGGGGACCGACTGAGCGGAGACGGAAAGCTCATTGTAATCTCGCATCGCATAGATGGCGCGGTGCAAGTCGGCAATCGAGGTGCTCGAGTGGATTGGTCTCGGCATCTTGGCTGGCCAGCAATGCAGACCCAATTGCGGGGGAGGCGAGGGTCATGGGGTCAACGGCAGCGCGTGGGCGGCTGGCCACGTCACACGGGAGGGTGCAGCGCGCACCCAAGCCCAAAACACCAACGGCCAACTGGGGCCGAAAAATATGCAGCTCCAGCACCCTGCATATTTACCCCGCACTTTTTCTGCGCATTTTTCTCTGGGGTTGGGCCATGCTCGTTGTGGAGGTGACCAGGCGCCGCAGCTCAAGTGCCTCGGCAAGCCTGGCTGAGCCGAACCAGGCTAGGCAGCGCGGGTTGACAGCAGCTTCACCTTATCTAGCGTGGAGCTCGGCTAGATGGGCGAGCACACCCTGGTGTTGCGGAGACCAAGCCCCGCTGCTTCTGCGACAAAGCAAGCCTCTACGCATCCCACCCATCTCAGCCGGCGCTGGATCCGGTCGCTCCAGCAATCCTGACGTGGTCTCGCTTGCTCCAACACCATGCACTCTAAGCGCTTCCCGTGTCCCTCATCCTCTCTTTGCACGGCGAGCCTGTATGCCCAAGCAGACGAGGATCTGAAAGGTGCGAGGTTTCTGCGAAAGGATCTGAGATGTATCGGGCCAATCTGGCGGGAAAGGTGCGGTCGGGAGCAACATATGCTTTTATACTCTGCGGAAAGGACACGGCGGGAAAGCCGACGAGAGGCCAGGGCTGGAAATCAGCGTGGAAAGACTAGGAGTTGCACTTGAAGCCTCCACTCGGTTGGCCCGACCGCGCTGTATGACTTGCATCCCGTCGGTGTCGAGGCTCCACTTTTCGCACTTGGCAACGGCTGCGCCTGGCCTCGGCTGGTGCTGGGCGGGTGCGCGGCCTTCCCCACACGAGTCCGTCAGCTTGCATCGGCAGCCAGTCAAGCTCCGCACACCTGACCCTGCTTGTTGCGTCGGTGGTCGCTGCCCATTCCACCGACCCGTTGCCTCCCACCCGAATCTTAAATAGTCGAATCAATGCTCATCATGGTGGCGACATGCGTTGGTCGCAAACAAGGGGAGGAGGACAAGGCCAGGTCCAGGGCCGTCGGACATCTAGCTAGCGGGAAGCTAAACGCAAAAAAAGAGATAAGCAGCGTTGAGCCGTGCGCTTTGTCGTTTCGCTGCAGACCGGTATCCACGGTATCCATGAGACGGTGCCTCGTGAGAGCACACCATGCTGAGACTGTGCCCTGCCGCGCACCCCAACAAAGCCAAAAGCACGCCAGCCAGGACCAGCCGAGCTTGCGTCTGCTCGTGTGGAGCGGGCGGGCAAGTCACACCCAGGTCTCTCCGCCGCGCTCTCACCGCACTCACCTCACTCGATGCGGGGCGACTGCAGTGCCCTCTCCGCCTCTGGTGCTGTCGCCGTCGCCGCTTCTACGCAGCTGGTGCTGCACTGTGACAGTCCCATGCGCATCGACAGCCAATCTCCCCCCCCCCCCCCCCCCCCCCCCCCCCCCCCCCCCCCCCCCCCCCCCCCCCCCCCCCCCCCCCCCCCCCCCCCC